CGCGCGCCGCCTCCGCCGCCGCCGCCGCCGCCGTCGTCGCCGTCGCCGCCGCCGCCGCCGCCGCCGCCGAGCCCGCCGCCGCCGCCGAGCCCGCCGAGCCCGCCGCCGCCGCCGTCGCCGCCGCCGCCGCCGAGCCCGCCGCCGCCGCCGCCGAGCGCCGCCGTCGCCGCCGCCGCCGAACCCGCCGCCGCCGCCGCCGCCTCCCTCGCCGCCGCCGAGCCCGCCGCCGCCGCCGCCGATCGGGCCGCCGTACGCGTGGGCGATATCCGACTGGAGCGCGTGCTCGAAAACGTGCGGCAACGGGACGCGAACGCGGACGGTGGAATGTAAAGGGGGCGACGGCGCCGGCCCCGCGGAGCCGGAAGAGTGCGGCGGCGGCGCCGCCGGAACCACCCCGGCGAGCTCGGAGCCGTGCAACTGGAACGAGTGCCCGAAGTATCAGTACGACGTCGGGGAGTGGAGCACGTGTAACGTCACCTGCGGCGGCGGCGGCGCGCGGCGCCGCGCGGTTCGATGCCGGACGACGTCCAACGCGACGGGGACGGACGACGACCTCGCGAACGGCGACGGCGTGATCGTCCCGGACGGGATATGTGCGGCGTACGCCCCGACCGCGGTGCGGCCCGCGAGCACGGAGAGCTGCGGGGACGCGTACTGCACGTATCTGCACTGGGATTACGGTCCGTGGGGGCCGTGCTCCAAGACGTGCGGCGGCGGGACGCGATCGCGAGACGTGTGGTGCGCGCAGCGAAACGATCTGTACAATCCGTCCACGGGCGCGTCCAGAAACGCTTCCGACGGCGGCTCGAAGCTCGTCGTCGCGAACAGCAAGTGTGAGTACTACGTCGACTTCCTCGGCCCCACGCCGGCGTCGACGTCGTCGTGTTTCGATCAGCCGTGCGTGACGGACGCGCGGTGGGACGTCGCGGATTGGAACGGCGGCGGCGCGTGCTCCGAGTCGTGCGGCGGCGGGACCATCACGCGTTCGGTGACGTGCGTCGCCGGGCCCGTCGGCGCCGCGACTGTCGTCGCGGACGCGAACTGCCCGTCGCCGAAACCGACCGCCGCGGTGCCGTGCAACACGCACAAGTGCGACTTTTGCGCGAACGAGATGTGTCACTTCGCCGGCGTTTGCGCCGACGGCGCGTGCGTCTGCGACGCGACCGCCATCGGCCCGTACTGCGACACGATGCGCACGTGCGGGTTCACCAAGTCCGAAGACGCCGGCGGCCTGTGCTGCGCCGGCGCGATCGACAACGTGGGCCTGTGCTGCCCCACGGAGAACGGCGTCGCGAAGCTCGACCGCGACGGCGGCTGCTGCTACGCCGGCGACGTCGACGCGTGCGGCGTCTGCGGCGGCGGCGCGAAAGGTGCGTTCTATACACTGGTCCCCATACGACCGCGTTCGCGTGGTGAACGCCGATCCTTAAGAACTTTCTCTCCCGGCGCATCTCTCCGCCCAGGGTCCCTCGCTTTCAATCCCGACACACCTCGACGCCTTTCAACTCCGCCTGACGTCTTTGAACTCCACCCCGACGTTCGCTCGTACGGAACGACCCTCAGTCGTCGACGTCCGCGGCGCCTGCTGCGACGGCGCGCTCGACCCGGGGGGGCTGTGTTGCCCGTCCGGGCGCTTCGACGCGTGCGGCGCGTGCGACGGCGACGGAACGTCGTGCCCGGTGTGGCTCGAGCTGCGGCTGTGGAGCCTCCCGTCGGCGTTGGTCGCCGGCGGGAGCGACGCCGCCGCGTTAAACGCGCACCTCACGACGTGGGCCGCGCTCGCGCTGGGCGTGGACGAGTCTTCGGTCGCGGGGTCGTCCGCGGGGGGTCAGCTCGCGTCGAAGGTGTACGCGCCGCCGCCGCCGCCGCCGTCGAGAAGGCGGTTGCTGCAGACGAGCGACTACCCGGTGTCGATCGTCGTCCCCGCGCGTCCGCCGTTTGCCGCCGGCGTCGACCCGGCGGCGACGGTGATGGCCGCGGTCGAGCGCGTCGGCGTGTACGGCGGCCGCGTCGCGGCGACGCAGGTCACGACGAACGCGTCGATATCAGACGACCTGTGGAACACGCGCGCGTCGCGGGTGTTGGGGATCGCCCGCGCTGGGGCGTGCGGGAACGGCGTGTGCGAAACCGGGGAGGCGTGCGTCGGCGACGCCGAGGCGTCGGCGGCGCCGAACGCGCTGACCGACGCCGCGGTCGCGTCGTACGACCGCACGGAAGCGTACGGGAGCTGGACCGCGTCGCTGAACGACGCGAAGGCTGCGGTGGAGGGCGGGTACGGTCTCCTGGGGCCGACGACCGCGACCGCGGCGGCGACGTGCTGCCCCGCGGACTGCCCCGTCGTCGTCAAGACGTGCCCGAGCCCGGAGAACACGACGACGCCGTGCGGCGGCCGCGGGCGGTGTCTCATCGCGACGGGGCAGTGCGATTGCTTTCCGGGGAGAGGGTGGACCGGGGTCGCGTGCGGGGAGTGCGCGGAGGGGCACTACTACCTGAGAGGGGAGTGCATGCGGAGGATATACGCGTCGCATCCGCCGCCGCCGGCGTCGCCGGCGGTTTTTCTCGCGCCGCCGCCGCCGCCCGCTCCGAAGGAAAAAGTGACGTGGGAGGTTTTGATCGCCGCCATCATCGGCGCCATGATCGCGGCGGCGTTACTGTACTGCTGCGGCGCCGCGTGCGGGCTCTTCACGTCGTGCGTGTCTAAGAAGAATAAGACCGGGGAGAAGTACAACTACGAGGAGGACGACGACGACGTCGACGCCGGGACGCTCGGGAAGAAGGGCAAGGGCGGCGCCCGGGGCGAACGCGAAAATAAAAACGCCTCCGCCCGCGACGCCGGGAAGTCGCCCGGCCCCGGGGCGATCAAGAGCGCGTGGGGTCTCGCGATCGACGGCGCGTCGAAGCAGAAGCGCGCGTCGCATCAAACGCAAACGCAAACGCGGTCGCCGGGCTCGCCGAGCGCGAAGCCGCGCGCGTCGTTCCACGCCGCCGCGAACGCGTTCGCCGGTCCCGGGAGGTTCAGCTCGCTGGACGACGCCGCCGTCGCGGACGGCGACGACGACGCCGCCGTCGCGCACGGCGGCGGCTACGGCGGCGGCGGCGGCGGCGGTGCGAACCGCGCGCGCGGGCGCTGGCACGCCGTTCGCGACACGGTCCGCGCGAGCGACGCGCTTCGCGCGCTCGCCGCGGGCCCGGGGGAGCCGCGGAAGCTCCCCGGGACGGTGCGCCCGGACGCGTTGAAAGCGGACGCCGCGGCGGCGTTGACCGCGTTCGGCGCGCCGGCGTCGTCTCTTTCAAACGACGACGACGCCGCGATCGACAGCGCGGCGAACATGGGGCTCGTCGACGCGCGCGCGCGATCGAGCGCGGCCGGCGCGGACCCGGTGACCGGGATCGCGACGAACGCGTTCACCCGCGGCCTCGCCCCCGGCGCGGTGGCGGCGTCCGCGAAGACGAGGGCGGAGGCGGTGCCCGTCGCAGTGTCAATGCGCGTGCCGCAGAGACTCGCCGGTCTCGGCATCGAGGACGTCGGGAGCGATCTCCCCGACGTCTCCGGAGCTGGTCCGTCGAGGATCGCGGTGAACCCCGGGAGGTGGCCGCAGGGCGCGACGATGGAGCAGACGCGCGCGAGAAGGGAGGCGGCGGCGGCGAAGAAGGAAGCGAAGCGGCGGCGCGAGGAGGCGCGACGCGCGGCGGCGGCTTTCGAGCACGACGAGGAGAACCCGCCGTTGCCCGGGGGTTTGTTCTCCTCTGTGGAATAGTGATAGCGAGTAGCGAATAATAGCGTTGATACCACTAGCGGATAGGTGAGAAACGAATAAGAAACGGACGTTTCACGCGCGTTACACGTTGAACTTGAACACGAGCACGTCCCCTTCCTTGACGACGTAATCCTTCCCCTCGAGCCTCCACACGCCCTTCTCTTTCGCGCCCGCGAACCCTTCGCACGCGATGAATTCGTCGTACCCCACGGTCTCAGCCTTAATAAACCCCTTCTCGAAGTCCGTGTGAATCACCCCCGCGGCCTGCGGCGCGGTGAACCCCCGCTTGATCGTCCACGCCCTCGTCTCTTTCTCCCCCGTGGTGAAGTACGTCTGAAGATTCAGCTGCGTGTACGCGTTTCGAATCAAGCTCTTCAAACCGCCCTCGTCCGCGCCCAAGTCCGCGAGGAACTCCGCGCGCTCCTCAGGGTCGAGCTTGATGAGCTCGGACTCCACCTGCGCGGAGACGATCGTCACGCCGCTGCCCTCCGTCTCCGCGTGTTTCCGCACCGCCTTCACGTGGACGTTGGACGCGCCCGCGTCCGCGAGGTCCTCCTCGTTGACGTTCGCCGCGTACACGCACGGCTTCGCGGTGAGCAGCATCAGATCTTTCACGAGCGCCCACTCGTCTTCGGTCAAGCTCGCCAGACGCGCGGGCTTGCCGTCTTCGAGAAGCACCCGCAGCTTCGCGAGCGCGTCGCGTTCGCCTTGCTCCGCCTCCTTCTCCGCGTTTGATTTGGCGCGGCCTTTTCCGAGACGCTCCAGCCGGCGTTCGATCTGCGCGAGATCCGCGAGCGCGAGCTCGAAGTTGATCACCGCGATGTCCTCCAGCGGGTCCACCTTCCCGTCGACGTGGATGACGTTATCGTCGTCGAAGCACCGGACGACGTGCACGACGGCGTCGCACTCGCGGATGTTGGCGAGGAATTTGTTTCCGAGGCCCGCGCCGTCGGCGGCGCCCTTCACGAGGCCCGCGATGTCGACGAACTCGCACGTCGTCGGGACGATGTTGGTCGTGCCGCTGATCGTCGCGAGCGCTTGGAGGCGGTCGTCCGGGACGGGGACGATCCCGCTGTTCGGCTCGATCGTGCAGAACGGGTAGTTCGCAGCCTGGGGGAGGGGAGGGGAGGGAGAGCGGGGTGGTGGGGTGGGGGAGGAAACGCGCGGTGAGCGAGCGCGGCGTTCCGTTCGTCCCTGATCTGTCTGGTCGTCGTCTCGTCGCGAGAAGAGCGCGCGGGGCCGCGGCGACGCGCGGAACGACGGGCCGGGGGACTCGGGCGACGGCGACGGAGGACGCGGACGCACCTCCGCGGTGCTGTTCTCCACGAGCGCGTTGAACAGCGTCGACTTCCCGACGTTCGGGAGCCCGACGATCCCCGTCTTCAGCGCCATCGACGTGATCGCGGCGGCACGAAAGCCGCGACGGGAGGACTGCCGCCCATCGGCCCATCCGCCGAGGGCGCGGCCGCCGTTGAACGCGCTCGCGCGCGCGCGGAGGGACTTGCACGCCGTGCGCGCGACGAGACGAGCGGTCGTGTTTAAGCACGCCATGGAGGTCGACATCGCGCGTGCGCGGAGGGTGTGCGAGCGGCGACGCCGACGTCATCGCAGCACAGCGTTATCGGTTTCGGTTCGGGTGTGTCGTCGCTCGAGTCTCGAGTACGTTGTACACGTTGTAGTCGAGTGTCGTAAAAGCAGAGTGCGCTACAAAACGCGTCCGGCGTCCGGCGGTGGCCTACTTCGCGTCCTTCTTCTTCTTCGGCGCCGCCTTCTTCTTCGCCGCGGGTTTTTTCTTCCCGTCGTCCTTCGCTACGAAACCGATGGCAGCGAGGCGTTTCGCGCTGATCTTCGGCTTCTTCGGCAGCCCGTCCTCGCCCTCGCCCTCGCCGTCGCTCCCGCCGTCGCCTTCTTCTTCGTCGTCGTCGTCCGCGACGGCGGCGGCGCCTCTCTTCCTTCCTCTCTTCGCCTCTTGCGTCAAGATCCCGCTGTGCACGACCCTCCCTTTATCGTTGCACTCCCTCGTGAACGCGCTCTTCACCGCGGTCGGAATACCGAGCGCGGCGTCCGCGAACAGAGGGCCGTTCCCTTTCAGTTTCGTGACGTCCTGGATCGACTCCCAATCCTGCCGCGTCAGGCAGTACGCGTCCATGGTCGCCATCGCCTCCGGGATGCCCTCCTTCTCCTTGCCCCCCAACGCCGCGGATTTCATCGGCCTCGTCGTGAGGAGTTTGAGCAACGGCAGGTAGTACTCGCGCAACGACGCCGCGTCCGCTTTGAACCCCTCGGACGTCATCGCGTGCGAGTGCACCTCTTGAAGCAGGCGCTTGTTTTTCCCGTGCGTGCTGTTTTTTCCGAGCCACGACGGGAATCGGTTGAAGTTCCGCTCGCCCGGGTGCAGTCCGAACACCTCCCTAGACCCGCGCATCGTGCTCGCGGGCATCACCGAGCTGACGATGTTCGCGTACGGCATCAGCCCCCAGTTCTGTTTCGCGCGGATGCTCTTGTTCATGACGTCGCCTTCCGATATCGACGTCGCCGCCGCGGACAAGAGTTGCAGACGTTCGACGTCGTTCTTCGCCGCGTACGGACGGTACTGCACGTAGTTCTCTTGGATGAACAGCGGGATGATGTCCGAGTCTTGGAAAACGAGGTTTAAGCGCTCGGTCACGGTGAGACGGTTCGCGTCCGGGGCGCAGAGCTTATCCACCGCGGTGAACGGCCCCATGTCTATATCTTTCTTCGCGAGCGACTTGATGTCGTCGTACGCGAACGATTGCTTCGTGAGCCGCCGCATCTGGAGCTGGTTGATGATGAGGCGAATGTCGTTGTTCGTCGTCTCGATCAGAGCCTCCATCGCGGCTTCGTTCATCTGGATGCCCTCTTGTTCCGCGATGAGCAGCATCCGCTTGACAATCTGGCCCTTCGTCGGTCGCGAGAACGGCATGTCGAGGACGTAGTTCTGCAGGGACTTCAGCTTCTGGTTGTACTTGTCGTTGCAGATGCATATGATGGGGATCTTCGAGATTTTAATGCAGTTGATGAGCTCCATGACGCCGCCGCGGTCGCCTCCGGACATGCCGTCGACCTCGTCCATGATGAGCACCGTCTTCTTCGGCGGGCCGCCAAAAAACGACATCGCCTTGTTCGTCACCATCTCCCGGACCGCGTTCGACGACTTCCCGCCGACGCCGTCCCTGATGTCGTTGCTGCTCTTCCCTCTGGTATCGGACGCGTTCACTTCCGTGACCTCGAACCCGAGCTGCTTCGAGATGATCGACGCGGCGCTGGACTTGCCGATCCCGGGCGGGCCGGAGATGAGCACCGCCTTCATCGGCTTGTCCTTACCCTTCATGTCCTTCGCCGTGCCGTCCTTTCCGTGCAGGGCGTCCCAGGTTTGGAGAAACTTCCGCAAGTCCGCGATGTTCTTTCCGTTTCCGATCAGCTGCGCCGGCTGCGACGGTTTGTATTTGTTCACCCACAGCGGCGTGTCCTCCGCCTTTTTCGGTCGGCTCGCCGCGCCCGCCGCCGCCGCCGCCGCTTGAGACGGGGCCGCCGCCGCCGCCGCCGCCGCGCTCGGAGCCGGCTTTTTCGCGGCCGCGGCGGGCACAATCTCCGGCTTCGCCTCGACGCCATCGGCGGGTTTCATCTCCACCTCAGTTTTCACCGGGTTCTTCGCCGCCTCCTCCGCGAGCGCCTCCACCATCGCGAACAACCCGTCCTCGTCCATCAGCGGCGTCCCCACGGACTTGGCTTTCGCGTACTTGCTCTTCCCGCAGTCCATCCCGACGAGCAAGTACGTCGTCTTCCCGCTCACCGCGGACGTGACCTTTCCGCCGTGCCGTTTGATGAAGTCCTCCGCCTCGTCTCTCTCGAGCGAGTCCAGCACCCCGGAGACGACGAAGGTGCATCCTTCCAAACACCCGTCCGGGCCGCGCGGCGCGGGCTTGCGTCCTTTGTTCGGCGGGCCCGCCATCTCGGTCCCGCCGCCGAACCCCCACGGCTTCGAGACGTCGATGACGCTGAACTTGAGTTCGTCCTCGCGTTTGGGGTACCCCGGCGGCGCGGGGATCGGTTTCTTCTCCCCCGGCGCCTTCTTGCTCTTCGACGCGCTCGCGGTGGTCTTCGGTTTCTTCGGAGTGCTCTTCGGCGTCGTCGTCTTCGGTTTCTTCGGCGTCGTCGTCTTCGCGGGCGCGTTCGCGTCGGCGTCGGTGGTCGCCTGCGCGCGCGCGACAAGAGGGAGGGAGAGAGGGTGAGCGCCGGGGACGACGACGACGACGACGACGATCGACGACGAACGTCAGATCTTAAAAACATAACGTGCGCGGGGGGCGACGTCGTCGATCGCGGGCGGACGGCGCGGGGCGGCGGGACCGCGGACGGCGACGCGACGCACCTCCGGGAGCTTCCTCTTCGCCGGCGCGGGCGACGCCTTCGGGGTCGTCGACGTCTTCGTCGCCGTCGCGGTCAGGTCCACGACGTCGTCGTCCCCGGTCAGGTCCATCGGCGTCGCGTCGTCCGAGGGCTTCGCGGGCGCGGACTTCTTCGCCGCGGGCGGGGACGATGGCTTCGCGGCGGCGGCGGCATCGGCGCTGGGCTTTTTCGGAGCGCCGCCGCCGCCGCCGAAGAAGCTCCGGATGTCTCCCATGCTGACGGCGCGCGCGGTGTGCTCGCGTCGTCGCTCGATCGCGTTTTGAAAATCCACGCATCGCATCGGCAGCGGCAGGTCCGACCGTCGGGTGCGACAGTAACATTTTTCACCCATCGCTCGGTTTCAAGATTTGATCGCGCCCCCTTTCAACTGACCGATGAACATATTTTGTTTGGCAGTCTGGTGCGAGTGCAGTGAGGAATATGTTTCCCGCCGGCGGCGGCGGGTCCGCGTATTACAACATCGTCCACGCGCGACGCTCTCTCCCTCACTTCCTCTTCTTCCCCTTCCCCCCCTGCGCCGCCTTCGCGGCCTCCGCCTTCTTGTTCCCCTGCACCGCGAGCAGACCGACGACGCCGAGGACGGTCACGTCGACGACGCCCGCGAACGGGGAAATCTCCGACGCCGTTCCATACGAGCGATTGTCGGGGTGGAGTTGAAAGGCGTCAGGTGGAGTTGAAAGGCGTCGAGGTCGGGGATTGAAAGCGCGGGGTGGGCGGAGAGAGACGGCGGGGAAAGTCCTTAAGGATCGGCGTTCACCACGCGAACGCGGTCGTATGGGGACCAGTGTACAGAACGCACCTCAGACGCCGCCGCCGCGTCCTCCGCGAGCGCGGGCATCGCCACCAGCGCGGTCGTCACCGCGGACGCGATGGCCGCGGCCGCGGCGTTCTTCGTCGTCGCGCCGCACGCCGTGCTCTTCCTCTCCGTCTTCCCCGCCGCCGCGGTCGTTGTCGTCGCTTTCGTTCGCGTTCTCGTCTTCGTTTCGACTCGAATCGCGCTCGGGACGCGGTCAGAGCGCGCGCGTCCGCGCGACGGCGCGGACGGCGCGGCGACGCCGCGCGGCGCGCGCGCGGAGGACATCAGCGCGGACATGACGCTCGTGAGCGCGGAACGGGAGCGATGCGCGCGAACTGTGGCGCGGGACGCGTCGCGCGCGGGCGGAAGTGCGCGCGCGCGCGCTCGAACTGCCAAGTCAGCGAAGCGCGCGCTCTGAGCCATCCATTCTCGCTTTTTATCGCGCTTTCCGCGGGCCATCGGCGCTCGCCGCCGACGCCCGATAACGCGCGACGACGCGCGCGCCGAGCTCATTGTCGCACACGTCGGTCGACGGTTCACCGAACAGCATCACGATGTCTTCCGCCATGGCCTCCCACTCCATCGCCGCCAACGTCCTCCGCGCGGGCGCGCGCGTTTCCCGTCGCGCGACGGCGAACAAGGCGACCCGCCTCACCGTTCGCGCCGCGGCGTCCGAGCGCACGCTTCCCATCGACCTTCGCGGTGCGTCCCGAGCGCGCGCGCGCCGTCGTCTCCCCGTCGTCGACGGAATCGATTCGCGCGCGATCCGCGCCGCCGATTCGCGGCGTCGTCGCGTCGTCGCGCGCGCCGCGTCGCGCGCGTTCCGCCGTTCTCCGGCGCTTCGCGCGCGTCTCGATCGACAGCCTTTTGTCTCGGATAGGACAGCCGTCCGCATCGTGCATTCATCGTGCACCGTCGCGACGACGACGATGGCCTCGTCCGCGCTCGATCCCATCGCGTCGTCCATCCGCGGCTTCCGCGCTTCCCCCGACCAGACCACCCCGCCCGCATCGTTCGCTCACGCATCACGCATCACGCCGCGCCGTCCATGTCGATCATCGCAGGCAAGAAGGCTTTCGTCGCCGGCGTCGCGGACGACCAGGGCTTCGGCTGGGCCATCTCCAAGTGCCTCCAAGAGGCGGGCGCGGAGGTCATCCTCGGCACGTGGGTCCCCGCGTTGAACATCTTCGAGACGTCCCTCCGCCGCGGTAAGTTCGACGAGTCCAGGAAGCTCTCCGACGGCTCCCTCATGGAGTTCGCGAAGGTGTACCCCATGGACGCGGTCTACGACACGATGGACGACGTTCCCGAGGACGTCCTCGCGAACAAGCGCTACGCCGGGAACGAAAAGTGGACCGTCTCGGAGTGCGCCGCTGAGGTGGAGAAGGACTTTGGGAAGATCGACATCCTCGTGCACTCGCTCGCGAACGGGCCGGAGGTGATGAAGCCCCTCCTCGAGACGAGCCGCAACGGCTACCTCGCCGCGATGTCCGCGTCGTCGTACTCGAACGTCTCCATGCTCCAGAGGTTCGGCCCGCTCATGAACCCGGGCGGCGCGTGCATCTCTCTCACGTACCTCGCGTCCGAGAGGATCATCCCGGGCTACGGCGGCGGCATGTCCTCCGCGAAGGCTGCGCTCGAGTCCGACACCCAGGTTCTCGCGTACGAGGCGGGGAGAAAGTGGGGCATTCGCGTGAACACCATCTCCGCCGGGCCGTTGGGGTCCAGGGCGGCGAAGGCGATCGGCTTCATCGACGACATGATCAACTACTCCATGTCCAACGCGCCGCTGAACGAGAAGCCGCTCACCGCGATGGAGATTGGCCAGACCGCGGCGTTCCTGTGCTCGCCGCTCGCGTCTGGAATCACCGGGTCGACGGTCTACGTCGACAACGGGTTGAATGCGATGGGTCTCGCGGGCGACTCCAAGTCGCTCGAGAAGGCGACGGAGTAGAAGCGCATTCATTCATTCTTTGAAGAAAAAAACGAAACGAGTTGGTTGAAGCACGGCGCGAGGGGCGGCGACGCGGGCGCGGGGAGATGAGAAAGATTCTGAGGTTCTCTCTCGATTAGCGAGGAGTGTTTTAGACGGGCGCGCCGCGTGCCTTCGCGAGTGAATCGCGCATATTAATACGAGCAGCGAGCGCGAAAGCGAAAGAAAACCGAGGCTCGACTTTTTTGATCTCGCGCGTACGTGTGGTGAGCGATCTCGTGACCACAAATCTCGTAGCCGCGGCTGTAGTAGCCACCGATTCGTGATCTGCCCTTGATACCAATTGCCCATACGAGAGTACGAGCCGTCCGTACGCGCCGCTTTTTCCCGGATTTTTATCACGAAAGGACGGACGTTCCACGAGCTTCGGCAAATCGGTCACCGCGCGCTCGCGTCGACGCATGCTGTACGTGACCCTACGCCGAGGACTCGCGGGTAAATCGAAGGAATACCTCAAGACGCTGGAGACGCTCGGTCTCAAGAGAAGGTTCCAGGTCGTCGAGATCCCGAACAACCCGGCGTCGCGCGGGCAGATTTCAAAGGTCAAGCACCTCGTCTCCGTGGAGACCGCGCCGCAGCGCGCCGCTCGAATCGCCGCGCAGGAAGCGAAGCACGCGTACCGCGAGCCGATCGTTTTCAAGCACTCCGAGCTGTGATCTCCCGAACGATGCACGGCAGCGTCGTCGTCGCGTCCGTCGCGTCTCCGCGCGCGGTGAACGCGCTCGCGAAGCGCGCGGAAAAAGACGCCTCCTCCGCCGCGTCCGCGCGTCGTCGCGCGTCGTCGCGCCGCTCGCGCGTCGTCCCGCGCGTCGTCGCGCCGTCGATGCCGGACCAAAAGGGCGTCGCGAAGAAGAACAACCGCGAACCTAGCGAGGACGTGATCGCGCTGATCCGGTCGTCCTCCGCGGTCGCGTTCGACGTCGACTCCACCGTGTGCGTGGACGAGGGCATCGACGAGCTCGCGGCGTTCCTCGGAAAGGGCGACGAGGTCGCGGCGATGACGGCCGCCGCGATGGGCGGCGGCGTCTCCTTCCGCGACGCGCTCGAGGCGCGTCTGCAAGTCATGCAGCCGACGAGAGCCTCCGTCGACGCGTTCGTGAAGAACAACCCGCCGAAGCTCTCCCCGGGCATCCCCGAGCTCTTCGCGTCCCTCCGCGGCGCGAACAAAACCGTCTACCTCGTCTCCGGCGGCTTCCGGCAGATGATCGCGCCCGTCGCCGCCGCGTTGGACGTGCCTCCCGAGAACGTCTTCGCGAACAACATCCTGTTCAACGACGACGGGTCGTACGCGAGTTTCGACCCGACGGAGTTCACGAGCAAGGCGGGAGGTAAGGCGGAAGCGGTGAAGCACGTCAAGGCTTCGAAGGGCCACGAGGTGATGGCCATGGTGGGAGACGGCGCGACGGATCTGGAATCGAGGGCGCCGGGCGGCGCGGACGTGTTCATCGGGTACGGCGGCGCGCAGGTGAGGAAGGCTGTGGAGGAGGGCGCGGACTGGTTCGTGAAGGACTTCACGAGGTTCAGGGAGGTCGTCGACGACGCGTGATGAGCCGGGCCTGAACCGGGGAACCGGGGAGGGAGGGAGGGAGGGAGGGACCCGCGGAGGGAGGCGGACGGATGAAAAAAAGTTGAACTTTCCGGCGCGGCGGCGAGCGGGTTGGGTTTTCGAAGCTCTTAGCCTCCCGTAGCAGACGGAGCCCCGCGCCGCTCTGCGCGTTTCGAAGCGCGAAAAAAACAAAACGCGCTTCCTTCGGTCATCGTTTATTGACGATTGTAATCAAACGCGCGCGCCGCGCGTTCGATACTGCACGTATATCTTATGAATAAAGACGCCGCGGCGCGAGCGACGGGCGGAAAAAATCAGAAATGTCGTCGACGGACGGGCCCCGTCGCCGCTCACGCGAGCGACTGCTCAAACTTAATCTTGAGCGCGATATCGTCCACGCTCGGGGGCTTGAACCCCTTCTTGATCGGGACGTCCACCGTGAGCGTCCCTTTCATCAGCTCCACCTTCCCGGACGCGTCGCTCTTCACCTCGATCTTCGCCTTGACGTCCTCCGGCAGCTTCACCGTCGTCGACGCCGACGCGCTCGCGTTTCCGAGCGCCTTGGACTTGAGATCGTACTCCCCTTTCATCGTGACGAGGAACCGATCGACGTTCGTCTTGACCTCCAACGCGGCGACGTTCTTCGCGGTGCTGTAGTCCATCTTCGGCGTGAACCCGCGAATCGAATCCGGCTTCAGCGTGAGCTTCAGGACCTCCGTCGGCGCCGGCGTCTTGGCTTTACCCTCGGACGTGTTCCCGCGCGCGATGAACGTCGCGTCGACGCCAACCTTGTACCCTCCCGAGCCCAGAGCGTGCTTCGTCGACGACTTGACGCGCGGGCCGAACTGTCGCTTCGGGAGGAGCTGGAGGTTATCGAAGAAGATCGTCAGGCCGTCCTTGGACGCCTCCGCGTTGAGCTCGACCTCGCTCGACGACGGCTTCGCGATGCCTGATTTCGACAGCGCGGGCGTCGACGGCGCGGCGACGGCGACGAGCTTCCATCCCGCCACGGTGGCGGAGGACTCGATCTCGAACGTCGCGAGCTTCGCGGTGGGGGACTTGAACCCTTTGATCTCCGTCTTCGTGCTGAGCGTCGCGGACACCATGGCGACGGACGCTTGCCTGCGTCGTTTGTGGGGGGGAGCGTTCACGGGAGCGTTCACGGGAGGCGACGCGTCAGGGAGGGGCGCGGTAGTCGAAGAGACGCGGACGCGCTTTACGTGAGGCGCGAGATGAGGCGCCGGGGCACCGCGCGCGGCGGCGGCGGCCGACGAGCGCGCGACGACGAAACGCGGACGCGCGGGCGACGGCGAGCGGACCTACCTGACGTGCGCGTGTGCTGAGGGTGGGGCGCGTGTTCGCTCGCGCGCGCGCGTGTGCGGCGCCGCGCCGTCGCCGTCGCCGTCGCGACTCGTACCCGGCTCTCGTCGCTCGACGCGGTCGCGCCGACGAGTGCAGAGATCAGGCAAGGTGCGTTCTATACAAAAGTGTTTCACCCATCCATCGGTTTCAACACTTGACCGCGTGGGTCCCTTTCAACTGACCGGTGAACTATTTTTGTATGGAACGGCCCTCAGATCGATTCGCCCGGACGGCGCGGTCGGACGGTCACACTGTCCGCGGCGGCGAGACTGACCGAAGCCGACCGAAGAGCGCGTCGCGCGCCGGTTGGCACGCGCGAACCGTCGTACGACGCGAGGGCGTCGCGCGCGCGAGGATGAGCGGCGCCCCGGGCTCGACGGTGCGCCGTCGCGCGCTCTGCTCGCCCCTCGCCGCGCCCGCGCCGTCGCGGCAATTTCTAGGGCAATCCCGTCCGATCGATCTGGGAATACATTCGATGCGCGTCGTCGCCCGCCTCCAGCGCTGACCGACCCCCACCCTCTCTCTCCACGCGCAGGCGGACGGCGCGGGACCGTCGGGAGCGAAGAAGCACAACTTCAAGGTCGTGACCGGGTTCACCCCAGCGCAGTTGGAGCGCCTGCGAGAGCAGATCACGGCGTTCAAGAAGCTCAAGAAGAACGAGCTAGACTTTCCGATCCCGGGATTGCCGAACGTCATCGCGCGAGAGCACGTCGCGCAGCGCGCGAAGATGCTCGCCATGCAGCGCGAGAACGCCGCGGCGGCGAGCGCACCGCAAGCTCAAGCTCGCGGCGGCGGTCCCGTCGGCCTCCCGGGGCGCGCGGTCGCGAACGCGCACCCGGTCGCGTTACCCGGCAAGGTGGTCGCGTCGGGGGGGTCGGGAGGAAGAGGCGGCGGCGGCGGCGGCGGCGGCGGCGGCGCGCCGTCGAAGCGATCGCATCGCGGCGCCGGCCAGGGCGGCCCGCCGCCGCTGCCTCCCGTGATGCACCGCCCGATGCCTAAGCCCGTGACGTCGATGCCGGCCTGGTGGAAACCGCGGGAGCGGCCCATCTACGACCTCGCCGCGGACGCCGCGAGCGGGCCGGGCAGGGATCAGTACGGGTACAAGCCGGCGCCGATGCGTCGCGATCTGAGAGCGCTCGTCGAGGCGGAGGCGGACCGCGCGCTCAGAGCGCGCAGAGAGCGACGGCTCGTGGAGATCAAGGAGGAGCTTCGCGAGCTGGCGGGCGGCGGCGGCGGCGGCGGGAAGAGCCATCAGGCGCGGCGGGCGCTGCAGCTCGAGGAGCGGTCGCTTCGTCTGGTCGGGTTGCAGGACAAGGTTCGCGCGAGCTTGGTGCGCGAGCAGCGCGAGCTCATGAGCATGGGGGAGCGGCCGTACAAGAAGCTCGTGCGCGAGTTGGAGAAACAGAGGGAGGTGAGCGCGAAGGCGGAGGTGAAGCGCGCGAGGGAGGAGCGCGAGGCGCACTTCAAGGCGATGAAAGCCAGGCGGCAGGTCATCTTCGAGGAGAGCGGCGTGGCGCGGGATTTGTGCGTCACGCGGAATAGGCAGATCTTGAAAGTCCACGAGCGGATGTCTAAAGACTGGGCCAGGCGGCAGCGGGACGTGCAAAACGCGGCGAACCAGGCGCTCGCGGCCGCGGGCGCGAACGCCGCCGGCGCGGGGAACGCGGGCGGCGCGGCGTCGAACGCCGACTACCTCAAGCGCGTGGAGGCTTTAAAGGCGAACGACATGGAGGCGTACAGGGAGCTGCTCGCGGAGGCGAGAGGGAGAGAGGGCGCGATCGGCGCCGGCGACGGCGACGCGGGCGACGACAAGTTCGCCGCGCTGCAGGAGTTCCTGGAGAAGACCGAGGGGTACCTCGAGCAGCTCGGGGGGAAGATCGCGGCGCTGAAGTTGGATCAGCAGCGCTCGGAGGCGGCGGCGGCGGCGGCGGCGGAGGCGGAGGCGCAGGGGATGACCGAGGAGGAAGTCATCGAGTTCGCGACGCGCGCGGCGGACAAGGCTGCCGCGGACGGCGGCAGGAATCTCCTCGAGGCTGCCTCCGCGGGCGACGGCGGGGACTCGAAGCAGAAGTACTACGCCCTCGCGCACACGGAGACGGAGAAGATCATCCGCCAGCCGCGGATGCTCACCGCGGGATCTCTCCGCGACTACCAGCTCGTGTCCTTGCAGTGGATGATCTCGCTGTATAACAACAAGCTGAACGGCATCTTAGCCGACGAGATGGGTCTGGGAAAAACGGTTCAAGTGTGTGCGTTGATTGCGTACCTGTGGGAGAGCAAACAAAACTACGGCCCGCACTTGATCATCGTGCCCAACGCGGTCATCGTGAACTGGAAGTCGGAGATCAAGACGTGGCTGAAAAACGTTCAGGCGGTGTACTACGTCGGCGGCCGCGAACAGCGGCAGAAGATCTTCACGCAGCAAGTTTTGCAGCTCAAGTTTAACGTCTTAGTCACGACGTACGAGTTCGTCATGCGCGACAGAGCGAAACTGTCCAAGGTGAACTGGAAGTACATCATCATCGACGAGGCGCAGCGGTTGAAGGACCGCGAAGGACGGCTCTCGAGGGATCTCGACCGGTTCCGGTGCATGCGACGGTTGCTTCTCACGGGGACGCCGCTTCAGAACGACCTCAGCGAGCTTTGGTCGCTTCTGAACTTGTTGCTCCCGCAGGTGTTCGACAACGCGCGGATGTTCCAGCAGTGGTTCGGGGACAGCGGGAACTCGAAGAAAGCCGCGGCGATGCCCGACGGCGACGGAGGCGAAATCGACTGGATCGAAAAAGAAAAGAAGATCATCATCATCTCCCGGTTGCACCAGATCCTCGAGCCGTTCATGCTTCGACGGTTAGTCCAAGACGTCGAGAGCAAGCTCCCGGCGAAGCACACGATCGTCGTCCACTGCCCGATGAGCGCGTACCAAGCCGCGGTGTACGACTGGGTCTCGAAGACGTCCACGGTGCGAATGGAACCCAACGCGAGAATCGGCCTCGCCGCGCGCGCAAACTTTCGCGGCTACCTTCCGCTGCAGAACCGATGCATGGAGCTCCGCAAGCTGTGCAACCACCCGGCGCTGAACTATCCGATCGCGAAAGGCGGCGAGTGGCGCTCCGGCCCGGACCTCGTCCGCGCGGGCGGGAAGCTGTGGGTGTTGGACCGCGTGCTCGTGAAGCTTCGCGCGAGCGGCCACCGCGTGCTGTTGTTCAGCACGATGACGAAACTGCTGGACCTCCTCGAGGACTACCTCAAGTGGCGCGCGTCCACGCCGATTTGCGAGGGCTTGGAGTGGTGCCGCATCGACGGCACGACGCCGCTGGACGAGCGCGAGGTTGCGATCACGCAGTTCAACGAGCGCGACTCGAAAAAGTTTCTGTTCCTTCTCTCCATTCGCGCCGCCGGCCGCGGGTTAAACCTTCAGACGGCGGACACGGTGGTCGTGTACGACCCGGACCCGAACCCGAAGAACGAAGAGCAAGCCGTCGCGCGGTCGCATCGCATCGGGCAAAAACGGGAGGTCAAAGTCATGCACTTCGAGGCTGTCGTCGACGCCATCGGCGGCGCGAACGACGAGGGCGGCGTCGGCGGCGGTCCGCTCGCGCCCGCGGCGGCGGCGGCGGCGCCTTCCACGGACGCGCCCGCCGCGTCCTCTCCCGGGACGTGCGGGCTCGACGACACGACGTGGGGCACCGGCGGCGAGCGGACGTACACGGAGAGCGTCGAGTCCGTGGTCAGGAACGTGATACAGCAGCAGAAGATCGAGATGGCGGACGAGGTGATCAACGCCGGGCGGTTCGATCAGCAGACGTCGCACGCGGAGCGTCGCGAGACGCTCGAAAAGATCATGAGAGAACAAGAGGGTGGCCCGAAGCGATCGTGCGCGGCAATGTCCATGCGCGCGCTGAACGAGAAGCTCGCGCGGACGCCCGCGGAGGTGGAGCTGTTCAATAAGATGGACAACGACGAAACGCTCTGGCCGGGGGGGTTAACGACCGCGAACGAGACGCCCTATTGGCTTCGGTACGACGTCGCGACGCGCGACGAAGCCGTCGCGTCCACGGCGAAGGCGCCGCCGGGACGCGCGGGGGACGTCGCGGAGGCGCACAGAGTCGCCGCCGCGCAGCTCGCGTCCGGAGTGATCTTAGGCCGAGGCGAGCGAAGCAAAGGCGGGTTCGTGCCCGGGTTATACAAGGCCCAGAACGCGGCGCTCACGGGCGCGGACGCGGCGGCGGTGATGCAACGCGCCGCCGCGGCGGAGGCGGCCGCAGCCGCTGCGGCGACCGAGGGCGCGGCGACCGCCGCGGTCGAGGCCGCCGCGGTCGACGTCGAACCGGCGACCGCGCCGCCGCCCGTCCAACCCGCCGCCGCCGCCGTCGACGTCGACGTCGCGGCGGAGCTCGACGAGCCGCCCGTCGTCCTCGCGGACGACGACGACGACGCGTCCGAGGTCACGGAGAAGGACGACGACGACGACGACCTCGACCTCGGCGTGAGCTCGCGCGGGGACGAGGGCGAGGGGGACGAGATCAACCTCGACGACGTCGAAGAGGAGGAGTGGGACGAGGACGGCGTCGGGACGATCGGGGAGCAGATCCCGCGAGGGGAGGACGACCACCACGTCCTTCCGACGGAGTCCGCGATGGATTTGACCGCGATGGACGACGCGGCGGTACAGGCGGCGCCGCCGCGGCCGGCGTTGACGTTCAGGCTCGGTGGCGGCGGCGGCGGCGGCGGCGGCGGCGAGGGCGGCGAGGAGGATAAGAAGCGGAAGCGGGACGAAAAAGAAGAGGAGGATGGCGCGTAGGACACGACGCGACGCGCGTGCGTTTTGATAGACTACGGACTGTTGCGTAGCAGCAGATGCGCGTCGCGCTTGAATCTAAAACCGCCGGAGAAAATTTCCGTCCTTCCTACAGTATGAATTCGCGATCAGCGCTCATCGTGAATCGTAAAAACCACCGGTGAAGAATGCACACGTCGACCGACGCGTTCATCGCGTCGTCGTTCGATCGATCGCGCGGAAAAGAGCGGTTCACGGATTCCGAGTGCCAACTGTCAACCGTCAAACGTGCAGCCAGCGGTCGCAGAGCCGCTCGTCTCGGAGCTTGCGGGGAATTTCACGATGAAGATATAAAGCCGGGACTCGCTCGCCGGCGCCTCACTCTCCGCACGCACATCCACCTTCCCCCCGTTTTATAACAAAACGCGGAAAAGATGGCCGCTGTCTCCGCCGCCTCCATGGCCGCGCTCAACACCTCCTTCGCCGGCAAGAAGATCGCCGCCGCGAAGAAGGTCTCCGCTCGCGTGACGACCCGCGCTCTGAAGCCGGTCCGCGCGGCGGTCGCCGCGCCCGCGGACGTCTCCACCGAGACCGTCAACGACTGCGTGAACACGATCCGTTTCCTCGCGATCGACGCGATTAACAAGTCCAACTCCGGTCACCCCGGTCTTCCCATGGGCTGCGCGCCGATGGGCTACGTGATTTACCGCGAGGCGATGACGCACAACCCCAAGGACCACACCTGGTTCAACCGCGACCGCTTCGTGCTCTCCGCGGGCCACGGCTGCATGCTCCAGTACTCGCTCATGCACCTCACCGGGTACCCGTCCGTGTCGGTGCGTGTTGTTTTCCCCGCCACCCACTTCGTTTCCTCGAGCGCTGAAGCGCGGCGGCGTCGCGCGCACGAATCCGCCGCGTTCCGTGAACCGACGGCGATCGGCGTTTTATCCACACGAGCGGGGGAAAAGGGCTTTCAGCGCGTCGTCGTCGCGACGCGTTATCCACCCCGTTCGTCGCGATGAACCGCATCGATCGTCGCTCCGGTCGCGCGCGCGCTTCGTATCGCGCGTCGTGAAGGACCTCGCTCGGTCAGAAGACGTCTCGGCGTCGCGTCGCGCGCGCGGCGTCGCGTCTCCGAGCGCGACGTCTCGCGCGAATCTGCCGCTTCCTCGCGAGCCCGCGCATCACGTGCATTTATTATTCCATTCTCACCCTCTCGCCCTCCTCTCCCCGCGCTCCTCTCCCAACCCGCAGAACGACGACCTCAAGAACTTCCGCCAATGGGATTCCGTGACCCCCGGTCACCCCGAGAACTTCATCACGAACGGCATCGAGGTCACGACCGGCCCGCTCGGCATGGGCATCTGCAACGCCGTCGGCCTCGCCGCGGCGGAGAAGCACCTCGCGGCGCGCTTCAACAAGCCGGACTGCACCGTCGTGGACCACTACACGTACGCCATCATGGGCGACGGCTGCAACATGGAGGGCATGTCCGGCGAGGGCGCGTCCCTCGCCGCGCACTGGGAGCTCGGCAAGCTCATCGCGTTCTACGACGACAACCACATCTCCATCGACGGCCACACCGACATCTCCTTCACGGAGGACGTCTGCAAGCGCTACGAGGCGTACGGCTGGCACGTGCAGCACGTCGAGGACGGTAACACCGACCTCGACGCCATCCGCAAGGCGATCGACGCGGCGAAGAAGGACCCCCGCCCGTCCCTCATCAAGGTGACGACGCTCATCGGCTACGGCTCCCCGAACAAGTCCAACTCGCACGACGTCCACGGCGCGCCCCTCGGCGCGGACGAGACCAAGGCGACGCGCGAGAACCTCGACTGGAAGTACGGCGAGTTCGAGGTCCCGGAGGCGGTCCAGTCTTACATGGACTGCTCCACGAAGGGCGCGGAAGCGCAGGCTGCGTGGGAGAAGACGTACGCGGAGTACAAGAAGAAGTACCCGGAGGACCACGCCGAGCTCGACTCCATCATCACCGGCAAGCTTCCGGAGGGCTGGGCGGACGCGCTCCCGAGCTTCACCCCCGAGGACGCGGGCGTCGCGACGCGCATCCACTCCCAGACGATGCTCAACGCGCTCGGCTCCGCCATCCCCGGCTTCGTCGGCGGCTCCGCCGATCTCGCGCCGTCCAACATGACGCTCATGAAGCAATTCGGCGACTTCCAGAAGGACACCGCGGCGGAGCGTAACATCCGTTACGGCGTCCGCGAGCACGGCATGGGCGCCATCGCCAACGCCATCGCGCTTCACTCCCCCGGCTTCAAGTCCTACTGCGCCACCTTCTTCATCTTCTCCGATTACATGCGCAGCGCGATGCGCATCGCCGCCCTCTCCGGCGCGCCGACGCTCTTCGTCATGACGCACGACTCCATCGGCGTCGGCGAGGACGGCCCCACGCACCAGCCGATCGAGCACCTCGCGTCTTTCCGCGCGATGCCCGGCATGCTCATGATGCGCCCCGCGGACGGTAACGAGACCGCGGGCGCGTACAAGATTGGCGTCGAGCAGACGGACCGCCCGACGACTTTCGCGCTCTCGCGCCAGGTCGTCCCCAACCTTCCGGGCACCTCCAAGGAGGGCGTCGCGATGGGCGCGTACGTCGTCCAGGGCCCCGCCGCGGGCGAGGACTGCGACTGCGTCCTCATCGGTACCGGCACCGAGCTCGAGCTGGCGTGCAAGGCGGGCGCGGAGCTCGGGGACAAGGCGCGCGTCGTGTCCATGCCGTGCTGGGAGCTCTTCGAGGAGCAATCCGACGAGTACAAGGAGAGCATCTTCCCCAAGGACTGCAAGGCGATCGTCTCCATCGAGGCTGGCTCCACGTTCGGCTGGTCCAAGTACGCGCACAAGTCCATCGGCCGCGATGACTTCGGCGCGTCCGCGCCGGCGGGCATCCTCTACAAGGAGTTCGGCATCACCACGGAAGCGATGGTGGCCGCCGCGAAGTCTCTCATGTAAATTCTTGCAGCGTAGCGTTTCGCGCACGGCATTGCAATTTTTTAACACGGTAGCTTTGCGCGGTTGAGATTCCTTTTTAATACATACCACCAACCAGCGATTGGTTTTTACAGTTGCGACGCTCGCCTTATCGTATCATCACGCAGTATTCGTTACAAGCGCTCTACTACGAATGATACGGTGTCTTCGCGCTCGACCGCCGCGAAAATAGACTAGGATCCCTTCTCTCGTCCGCGCCTCTTCACAGCTCGTCCCGGCTCTCGTTGTCGTCCCGCGGGAAGATGGCGTCCACGAAGCTCTCCGGCTCGAACGTCTGCAGATCCTCCATCTTCTCCCCGACGCCGACGAACTTCACCGGAATGTTCATCTCGTTCACGACGGACACGACCGCGCCGCCTCTCGCGGTGCCGTCGAGCTTGGTCAAGATGAGCCCCGTGACGTCAACAGCCTCGCTAAACGCCCTCGCCTGGTTCAGCATGTTCAGTCCCGATGTGCCGTCCAACACGAGCAACGTCTCGTGCGGCGCGGACGCGAGGCTCTTCGTGATGCTCCTCCTCACCCCCGCGAGCTCGTCCATGAGGTCGCAGTTCGTGTGCAAGCGCCCGGACGTGTCCGCGAGGACGATGTCCACGTCTCCCATCTTGATCGCTTCCTGCACGGCTTGGTAGCACACCGCCCCGGGCTTCATCCCCTCCTTGTACGTCGCCATGACGCCGTCGCTTCGCTCCGCCCACGTCGCGAGCTGCTCCGCGGCGGCGGCTCTGAACGTGTCGCCCGGCACGAGCATCACCTTCGCGCCGGACTCGAGCGCGAACCGGTTGGAGAGTTTCCCGAGCGTCGTCGTCTTCCCCGCGCCGTTGACGCCGACGACCATGATGACCGTCGGCGCCTCCTCGCTCAGCGCGAGCGGCGCGCACCCGGGCTCGCCGCCGTTCGGGCGCTGCAGGATGTCCACGATCGCGGTCTTCAGCGCTTGTTTCACTTGCGGTCCGGTGCTTATCTCGCCTTTTTCCACGCGCTCGCGGACCACCTCGATCACGTCCATCGCCGTCGTCGGCCCAAAGTCGACGGATATGAGCACCTCCTCGAGCTCGTCCAGCGTCTCCTCCACGTCCTCGAGCCTCCACAGCGAGAGCATCTCGTCCATGTACGACAGCTTCTCGCGCGTCTTGGACGTCCCTTTGAACACGCGGTCGAAGTCCGCCTGCGTTTTCTTCGCGAGCACGCTCGCGAGCTTCCCGATGCTGAACCCGTCCGCGCGGACGACGAGACGCGACGCGCGTCCTCCTCGTCGTCGTCGCGTCGTCGTCGTCGTCGTCGGCGCGCGCGCGGCGAGCGCGCGGCGATTCTCGAGCGACCTCGACGCGCGCGCGTTCGAGAGCGAGGCGCACTGCGTCGCGACGCGGGAGGACATCGCGAACATGATGATTCGAGGGCGCGCGCGGCGTCTCGCGGTGTGACGGAGCGGAGGTAGGATCCCGCGATAACGCTAACGAAGGAAAAGGAAGATCTCGCGGGTTCGACCAACCAGCGCGCAAAAAAAAAATCACGATACCCGTGTGTGTACTACGCGCGACGTACTATGCCTGACCGTTTGCGCATATACACGAAACGCGCGGAGATCTCTCTCTGAACCTTTCGGCCGGCGAGGAATTCCTGCACCGTCAAAAGTGCGCGGAGAGACTCGTCAGAAAGCGCCGTCGCAAGAGCGACGCCGGCGAACGACGCGCGTCACACACGCCGAGCGCTCGGCAGCGGCGACTTCGCGCGCGCACACCTCTCACGGGAACGTCTCAACTTCCCCTCGCGCGGTCGCCCTAAAACGCACGCACACGCACCCATGGCGACGAGCGCCGCGATGTCCGCCGTCGCGGGCGTCGCCAACACTCGCGGCGTCGGTCCTCGCGTCGCCGCGCGGTCGTCTGGATTCGCGAGCGGCGCGCTCGCGGTGCCGCGACGCGCGGTCAAGCAGACTCGCGTTCGCGCGGTCGTCACTTCCGCGAGCTCCCCTGAGGTGCGTCCACGTCGCATCGCGCGTCGTCGCGCGCTCGCGCGGCGTAATCCGGCGCGGCACCACCGTTACCCCAGCAACCCATCGCGACGAGGGTTCACAGACCGCCCTCGGATAAGCTTGCGCCGACTTTTTCGCATCCTTCGCTGGCGTCCGACGCGCGCGCGGCCGCGGTCGCGGTCGCGCCACCCGCGGCGATCGCGACGCGCGACGTCGTCCTAAGGACGCCTCGCCGCGCGACGGGCGCGGTCGCGCCGCGCGGCGACCGCGCGCGCGCGCGCCGCGCCGCGCGACGGAGAAGCCCTCGAGCGAGATGAGATTTCGTTCGCTCGCACATTCATTCGCGCAGCAGCGCGCGTCCCCGACCGTTCGCTGACCGCGCCACCCCGCCTCTTCCGCGACACAAACAGGGCCGCCCGTCGCCGTACCAGTTCGAGAAGGACATGGAGCCCCTCGAGAAGCAGCAGGCTGCGCTCGGCGGCGCGCGCATCGCCGCGTACGCCGCAGTCGTCGGCGGCGGCCTCGCCGTCGGCGGCGGCGTCGGCAACGCCGTCGGCGGCGCCGCCGTCCGCGCGACGCTCGCGGCGACGACCGGCGCGGCCGCCGCCGCCGCCGTCGCGCAGGCGGACAAGAAGCGCGTCTCCGCGGCGCCGAAAGCGCTGTGGAACGGCATGATGAACCGCGACCCGGCGACCATCACGAAGGTGCGTTCTATACACTGGTTCCCATACGACCGCGTTGGCGATGTGGACGCCGATCCTTAAGGACTTCGCCCGTCGCATCTCTCCGCCCACCCCTCCCTTTCGATACCCGCCCTCGACGCCTTTCAACTCCAACTGACGCCTTTCAACTCCACCCCGACGTTCGCGACCATCACGAAGGCGGATGTCGACGCCATCGGCGCGCGATTCGGCATGAATGATATGGCCAAGCAGTGCCCGGAGGCGGTCACGGAGCTGTACGACGCGTACCTCATGTCGATCATCCCGATGGGGGACGAGCCCGTGCAGGGGTGGGAGCCGGAGGCGCTGACGAACTTTCGAAGGCGACTGGGTCTCGAGGATCACGACGCGGCCAACGCGCACATCGAAGTCGGACGTCGGCTGTTCCGCAAACGCATCGAGCTCGGGGATAAGGACGCGGACCTCGAATCGCGACGGGAGTTTCAGAAGCTCGTGTTCATCTCCACGAGGACGTTTGGCGAGAAGCAGGCGAAGTTTTTGCTCCCGTGGAACCGCATCTTCCGCGTGTCGGACGCGCAAGTCACGCTCGCGTTGAAGGAGTCCGCGAGCAAGCTCCTCAAGACGCGCCTCGAGGGGTCCAACGCGATCGCGACGCTCGACGCCGCCGCTCTCGCGGACGCCAAGGCGTACCAGGGCGAGATCAACCTCTCGGACGAAGACACCGCGGAGGTTGTCGGCCCGATGTGCCAGCGGCACGTGGTGGACCTCATCGAGAAGGCGTCCGAGCTGGCGTCGGCGCGGACGGTGAACTCGGACTACTCCGCCGCGAACGCGCTTCTTCGCGAAGTGCTCGCGTACAACGTGTCGCTCGCAGCGTCCGCGGGACAGATCTCCGGGCTCGCGCCGGCGGTCCTCGCGGGGACGCCGTGGGAGGACAAGAGCTCCGAGCTGAACGTGTTGTTCAAAAACTTCCTCACGCAGGGCACCGAGGCGGGCGAATTATCCGCCGAGCTCAAGGACGAAGCCGGGAAGCTCAAGGCGCTGTTCGGGATGGGGAACAAGGAAGCCGAGGACATCGTGATCGAGGTCACGACGAAGGTGTACCGCGAGCAGCTCCGCGACGCGGTCAAATCCGGCTCGCTCGACACCGCGGAGTCCCCCGCCTCGGTGCTTCAGCAAATTTGCGAGAAGCTTCAGTTCCCGCCCGAGATCGCCGCCGGCGTGAACAAGGAGAACTACCGCACGAAGCTCGAGTCTGTCATGGAGAAGAAGTCTCTCACGGAAGACGACGTCACCGCGCTCGCGCGCGTCAGAAAGCTTCTCTGCGTCCCCAAGGATGTCGTCGACGAGTGCACGAAGGAAATCTGCGGCGCGGTGTACAAGTCCGCGGTTCAAGGCGCGTTGTCCGTCGGCACCGAGGCGTTCACCCCCCAGCTGCGCGACCGCTGCAAGGCGGCGAAGCAAGCGGTGCGCCTCACCGACGCGATGGCGCTCGAGATTTTGACCGTGGAGGCTAAGAAGGCGTTCATGAACTTCATCAAGGAGGCGCGCGTGAAGAAGAACAAGATTGAGCAGAGCAAAGAGATCAGGAAGATGGTGTACTTCAACGCCACCGTCGTGACGCCGATGGTGAAGGACGTGACGCAGGCGGCGGCGCAGGACGCGGCGAAGGAGCTCGCGGAACTCATGAAGGAAGCGCAGGCGGCGGCGAAGGAGGAAGAGAAGAAGGAGAAGGAGAAGGCGAAGGCGGAGGCGAAAGCCGCCGCGGAAGCCGCGGGCGAGGAGTGGGTGGAGCCGGAGGAGGAGGAGGAGGAGGAGGAGAAGAAGGAGGAGGAGGAAGTCGTCGTCCAGGACACGGCGCCGACGTACCAGAAGGAGGTCAACCTCAAATCGGAGATGGACCCGGTCAGCGCGCAGGGCTTGTACCAGGACTACCTCATGTTTTGCATGCAGGGCGACACCGTGACCGCGCCCATGGGCGTGCAGATCACCCTCGAGCGCGATCAGTCCGAGTTCACGCGTCTCGCGCAGCTCGGGGACATCCTCGGCATGAACCAGATGGAGGTTGGGATGGTCCACAAGGGACTCGCGGACAAGGCGTTCCGCGCGCAAGCGGAGCAGATGCTCGGAGACGGCCGCGGCCTCACCGCGGATCGCGCGGAAAAGCTCAAGGAGATTCAGACGTCGCTCTCCCTGCCAGACGCGGAGGCGCAGAAGATCATCAAGGGCATCACGTCGAAGAAGCTTCTGGGCGAGATGCAAGCGCAGATCGCCATGGGGACGCTCACGATCGCGGACGTCCGCAAGCTGAAGGAGTCTGGCGTCGAGATCGACAACGCGCTCCCGCCGGATAAGAGGCTCCAGCTGTTCCGTAAAAACGCGGAGCAGAGGCTGACGGACGGCAGCGGCGTCGCGGACATCGACGCCCTCACGAAGACGCTCCCCGAGGACCTCTCCATCGACCCGGAGGTTGCGAAGAAGGAGCTGACGAAGCTCGCGAACGAGAAGAAGCGCAGCACGATGATCGGCGCCGTCGCGGAGCTTCGCGGGAAGAAGATCGACGCCGTCGTCAAGGCGTGCAAGAACCTGCTCGCGTGCCACGGCGTCGCCCCCGAGAGCAAGCTCGAGTGGGCGGTGAAGGAGGAGCTTCAGGACATCTACAGCGTGTTCCTCGTCGACGGCGCGGACGACGAGCAGGCGTCGCTCTTGCAGAGCGCGCTCGGGTTGGACGACGCGACGTGCTCGGGGTTGAAGGAGATTGTCGCCGCGGACAAGTTCCAGCTCAAGGCGGACGTCGAAAACGAGGCGTTGTTCTAATTGGTGGAACACGTCGAGACGGGGCGGGGGCCCAAAGCGTAGGGCTACGTACATTTTTGAAACAGACGCCAGCGACGACAGGAGTGCTTATGAAACGCAAAGAACTTTTGACGCCTAAGTATGGGCTACGCATCTCATTCTACCTGTAATACGCGCGCGAACACCGCCAACGTCTCGATCGCGTCCGAGCCCGGGAAGAACGCGTGCCCTTCCGCGTGCTTCAGCGTCCACTCCCCGGACGCGCACAACTCGTCGCAGTCGCGAACGAACGAGTCGAACCCGCAGCTGACGTATATGAACGTTCGCAGCCGCGGCGGCGGCGGCGGCGTCGGCGGCGCGAGACGCGCCTCGTCCGCGGCTTCCGTCGCCTTCTTCCGCTTCCGTCGTCGCCTTCGTCGTTTCGCCTCGCTCCCGCCCGTCTCTCTCCCGCCCCCTCCCGTCTCTCTCCCGCTCGCCGTCGCCGTCGCCGCCGCCGCCGCCGTCGCCGTCCGCCCCGTCAGCGTCGCTCGAGTCTTCGCGTCCAGCCCTTTCCTCGGCGGGTTCACGATCACGACGTCCGCGTCCCTCACCGCCTCCCCCGCCGCGTGCTCCGCGCGTTCCACCCCGAACGATACCCTCGCGCGCGTCGCCTTCGGCAGCGTCGCGGCGGACAGCTCGAACGATACCCTCGCGGCTTCCGCCGCCTCCGTCGCCCGCAGCGATCCTCTCCACTCTTTCCCGCCAGCCGCGGCGATCGACAAGCCGATCGCGCCCGCGCCCGCATAGAGCTCGCCGACTGCGGCGTCCGCCGGGACGTGCGCGCGCAGCGACTCAAGCAGCCTGTTATACGCCCCCACGTTCGCCTGCATGAACGACCCGGGGTGGTAGCACACGCGCGCGTCGCCGTGCGCGCACCACGACGAGTAGAGCGAATTCGCGCCGCCGAGCTCGCGCCACGCGTCCGGCGCGTCGCCGACGATGACGTTGTCGGCGGCGTCGTTGAGGTTGACGCAGACGCCGCGCACGAGCGTCGGGTCTCCCACTCCGGCGAGCAGGTCGTCCGCGAGGAGGCGTAAGCGCGTTGGGATCTCCTCCGAGGACGGCGGCGCGTTCCACACGAGCGCGACGTGCACGGCGGCGAGGAGGTCGTCGCTCGGCGACGTCGGCAAGAAGTGCGGTCCTCCGTCGACGCCCGCGACGACCTCCGCGCCGCGCTCGTCTAGACCGCGCGCGCACGCGGTGAACTGCACGTACCGCAGCTCGCCGGTGTTGTCGCGCTCGTCGTACGCGCGGACGCCGAGGCGAGCGCACGCGGCCTCGACCGCGAGCGCGGCGTCGTTGATGCGAGGGTGTTGGACGACGCAGCCGGGGATTGGCGCGACGTCGTGCGTCCCGCGCCTGAAGAGGCCGAGCGCGAGCGCGCCGTCCTCGACCGCTCGCGCCGCGAGCTTCGCGCGGCATCGCCATCCGTTCGTGGGGCCCAGCGTCATCGCGAAGTCGACGCCTTTGGACGCGAAGTATTCGCGCGCGCGCGCGAGCAGCGGCGGCGCGTCCAGCCCCGTCGCGATCGCGCATCCGTCGCATCGAGACGCGTCGAAGTGGGGGCAGTCGAGTTCCGTCGCCGCCGCCGCGAAGGTCCTGACGGAAGGACGTCGCGACGACGGCGCGCGAGCGCCGTCGCGACGCCGTCGCGGCGATACCCCCACCGCCGCGGGCGCCGACGCGACCGCCGACATGATGGACCGCCCGCGCTCCCGAGCACTGCACGCGTTTCGGAACGACAACCAGAAAAGTGCAGTACAACGTAGTCTCGTTCGATCGACACGAGGCGCCGCCGCAAAAAAAGTTCATCGGTCAGTTGAAAAGGGACGTGATCAAATGTTGAAACTGAGGGATGAGTGAAAAACAGAGTGCCGTGTCGCTGTCGTACCGAGACCTGCATCTGCTGTGAGTCAGCTCGCGTTCGACAACGTCATCGCGTCAGTTCGGGATGGCGCCGCCGAGGACCGGCGCGCCGCCGCCGCATCCGCGGCTCACGCGCGTGTCGCGATGGGACTCGATCTACGCGACGTCCCCGTGGGACGCGTTCGTCGTCGCGTTCTTAGGATACACGTGCTTCGTCCTGCCCTTCTTCCTCGTCGTCCTCGCGCTTCTGCTCTTCTTTCCCGCGTGGCTCGCGCTGGAGTGCGGGTGGTACGCCCATCGCGCGGCGCTGAGACGGCGACACGAGGCGTTCACGGACCCGCCGCCGTTCGAGTACCGGAAAGAGCACATGCGGCGGTTCTTGCGTCTGAAGGAGGACGTCGTCCCGTGTTTCATCGCGTTCACGCGCGCGTGGTTCCGCGACGCGCCCGCCGCGCTCGTGAAGCGAGAGAACGTGAGAGACTTTTTCCGGTACGCCTTCTACGGCGTCTACATGAAACGAGCGTCCGACGCGGAAGAAGCCGAGCTCGACGCTTGGCTGGACGACGTGGAGAAACACTGGGACATCACGCTGCCGCCGGGGCGCACGGAAGGGCTGACGTTCATGGCGCACATGCGAGACGGTCTGCGAACGACGCATCAGCCGCTGTTCACGGTGTTTTACTCGCACGCCGCGGGGACGCTCGGCGGCGTGATATTGCGGCTGTGGGGGTTCCGGCATCACGGCTGCGGGGACACGGGGGTGACGTACTGGATACGCGATAAGAGTAGCAGCGGTCGAAAGAAGAAGAAGAAAAAGACGACGACGACGACGACGACGACGACGACGAAGAGAGGCACCGGCGGCGGTCGGAGAAGCGCGAGCGGCGGCGTCGACGTCGACGACGCGCCGGACGCCGACGACGCGCGCTGCGAACGCTGCGGCGGCGATCCGCTCGGTCGGCGGTGCTTCGCCGGGTGCCGCGACCGCGCGGACGGATCGCCCACGCCCGTCGTCATGCTCCACGGCCTCGGGATCGGTCTGTCTCCGTATCTGTGGACGGTGGCGAGCATCCTCCGCGCGACGCCGACGCGGCCGGTGGTCCTCGTGTGTCTCCCGGAGATCAGGCGCGTTCGTTCATATTTACACTGGTCCCCATACGACCGCGTTCGCGTGGTGAACGCCGTTTCTTAAGGACTTTACTTCCCGGCGGTCGTTTCTCTCCGCCCAGGGTCCCTCGCGTTCAATCCCGACACACCGCGATGCCTTTCAACTCCAACTGATGACGCCTTTGAACTCCACCCCGACTTCGCTTCGTACGGACCCTCGACCCTCAGCCTCCGGCACATCGTCACCGTGCGCACGCCGGACGCGTTCGTCAACGCGATCGAGAGCGCGTGCGTGCGACACGACCTCCGTCGCCCGTGTCTCATGGGCCACTCGTTCGGGACGTTCGTCGTCGCGCGCGCGTGTCAGCGGTCTGTCGTCGCGAGCACGATGCTCGTCGACCCGGTGGCGTGCTGTCTCATGCTGACGCGAGTGATTCACAGCGTCTTGTTCGCGATCGAGGACGTATGGCGGGAGCTCACGGGCCGCGAGTCCGCGGGGCTGGCGCGCGTGTCCGAGGCGGCGCGCGAGGCGTCGGGCGTGAGGTCCGCGAAGCCGCCGAGGGTGACGTGGCGGCGGCGCGTCGAGTTGGTCGCGTCGCTCGCCGCGTTGTGCGTGCGGGACGTCGTCATCGTGAGAGAGCTCTCGTGCGCGGTGGCGCTGAGGTGCGTCCCGTCTCGCGCTGGTTCCCATACGACCGCGTCGGCGTGGTGAACGCCGATTCTTATTAAGGACTTTTGCGGGCGTGTCTCTACGCGCACTCCTCGCTTTCAATCCCCGCCCGCGACGCCGTTGAACTCCGTCTGACGCCTTTCAACTCCACCCCGACGTCGCTTCGTACGGACCCTCGACCCTCAGTCGGACGTTTTGGTGGTGGCAAGTCGTGTTACACGCGGAGGACACGCCGCGAGACTCGCTGTGCGTGCTGCAGTCGCACGACTCGATATTAGACGCGGGCGCGGTGGCGAAGCACGTGCTGAACAGGGACGCGAGCGACGTGTTGTGGTTGGACGGGTTCAGGCACGGGGAGTTACTCGGGCCGACGGGCTTCGTCGCGCGAACGCGCATGGCGGAGTTTCTGAAGCGTTTGGACTGATCGACGCGTCCGTCGCGGCGCTCGCGTCGTCGTCGTTGTCGTCGTCGTCGTCGTCGTCGTCGTCGTCGTCGTCGTCGTCGTCGTCGTCGTCGTGTTACAACCTAAACGTCCATCATTCCTCCATCCCTCGAAACGAAACAAAACGAACCAACGCGTCGCTCACGTCGGCGTCGGCGCGTCCGTGATCTTCGAGAACTCCTCCCCCGTCGCCCCCGCGCCTCCCCACGGCGTGAAAAACTGCCTCAGCTGCCGCGGCCGGCACTGCCTGCCCGGCTCCATGGTCATCTTCAACACCGTGCCGCCCTCGCGCACGGCGACGTCCGGCGCGAGCGACGGATGCAGAATCTTCGCGAGCAGCTCGACGCCGTTCACGAGCCGCGGCCCCGCGCGCGAGAACAAGACGTGATGCACGACGTACACCCTTCGATTCTTCACCGCGGGAATCGCCCAAAAGCCCGGATTTGACGCCAAGCGATCCAGCTCCGCGAGCGTCTGATGCGGCGACGGCGAGACGCACGGGGAGAGAATCAAAACCTCGGGGGCGTACGCCAACACCTGCTCCCATCGCAGCCCGACCGCGGGCGCGCCGGGCTCTTGAAGCTCGTCCGAGCCGCCGGCGAGGGACTTCATCTCCGGCAACCAGTGCCCGCCGACGGCGAGCGGTCTGAGACCCTCCAGGGACAGAACCCTCGGGCGCTTCTCCGCGCTCGACACCGCGGCGGCGACCGCCCTGAGGCGCGCGCGCAGCGAGTCCACGAGCGCGACCGCGATCTCTTCCACGCCCGTCGCCGCGCCGACCTGAACGATAACGTCCATGACCTCGGACAGACGCTGCGGGTCCATCGCGAGCACGCGCGTGCCGCCGCCGCCGCGGCTTCCTCCCCCTCCTCCTCCGCGCCCGTCGCCGTCGTCGCCGCGCCCGTCGCCGTCGTCGTCGCGGTCGCGGTCGCGCAGCACGCCCGCCATGGATAACGCGCGCGCGACGACGCTCTCGCCGCCGCCGCCGCCCAGCGCGCCCGCGCCCTTCCCGCATCGCTCGCACGCGTCTTGCGTCAACACCAACCCGGGGCGCGCGCGTCGCAGCCATTCCACGTCCACTGAGACGCCGACGTACTCGCCCTCGCCGCGCGTCCCGCCGCCCGGCCGCGCGCCCGCGGCTTCGAGCATCGCGCTCCCGATCGACTGCTGCCGGTGGTTCGGGTTCAGACGCGACGGTCGACCGATCTCGCCGTTCGGGGAGATGACGCTTCGCGACCGAAGCACGATCGGGTACTTCCGCTCGACGGTCTGCGGGAAGTTGCACCGGTCCGTGACGCACACGAGACGCGACTGCAGTCCGAGCGCGTGCACGATTTCCGTCGCCGCGGGCGTGAGCGACGCGATCGTGCACGTCCGCGACGGCGTCGGCTGCGGCACGCTCGCGGGCGAGTGCAGATGCCCGATCCCGTCCAGCCCACCCCGCCCGTCGACGTCGTCGAACCCGAACCCGACGCCGCCAGAGTGCGAATGCGCCGCGCCGAACCCGCCGCCGCCGGCGGGGGGGAACGAGAGCAACGCCTCGAGGTCCAAGTCCGACCCGGACGCGGACCTCCGCACGCCGCCGTTCACGATCGAGCTGAGATGCCCCGTGGACTGCGAGTGCAGCATCGTCTTGCCGTTCGAGGTCGAGAGCGCGAGAGCGCGATCGTTTCCGTCGCGGTCGCGGTCGCGGTTGCCGTCGCGGTCGCGGTCGATTTTCCCGCCGCGCGACGCGTCTGGCGTGTCCTCGCTCTGCGTGCGACGATGGCTCGGCATCGTCACCGGCTCGCTGCTTCGGAACGACTTCTTCTCTCTTCCGCCGCTGTCGCCGCCGAGGCCGCTGCCGGCGCTGTTCCCGTTCGAGTTCCCCAGAGCGCCGCCGCCGCCTGATCCGCCGCGGCCGGGGGAGTCGCCGTCGCCGTCCAGGGTGCTCCACACTGAGGGTCGTTCCATACAAAAACGGTTCACCGGTCAGTTGAAAGGGGGAGCGATCAAATGTTGAAACCGAGCGGTGGGTGAAAAACGTTTGTATAGAACGCACCTGAGTCCGCGACGCCGTCGAGGATCCCCGCTGAGGAGCCGCCTTCGCCGAGCTGCGACAGCGCGCCGACGGACTTCTGCCGGCTCCCGAACCCGCCGCCGCCCACGGACCCCATGCTCGAGGACGCGGAGACGCTGAGATTGCGCGCCGCTGCCGCGGCTTTCAACGCCGCCTCCGCGGCGGCGGCGGGGACTTGCTTGCACTTCTCGACGAAATGCCGCGCCAGCCTCGGGTCGTCGCCAAAGTGTAAACGCGCGTACGACATCAGCACGTTCCTCCACGCGTACCCTTCGACGCGTCCGATGGACTGCCACCCGCCGCCGTCCTTCCCGGCGAGCGACGAGGACGAGCCGCCGCGCGAGACGAGGGAGGACTCTGACCAGGACTTGCCCGTCGGCGACGGCGATATCACCTCCCACACCATCTCTCCTCTGACGTCGTCCCAGGACCCCTCCAGGCTTTTTCGTCGTCTCGAGTCCGCGGGCGTCCCCGTCTCGCTCGAGTCGTCGTCGTCGTCGCCGCCGCCGCGTTCCGTCGCTTCTCTCTCGCCGTCCGATCCTGAGTCGTTGAAGTTGCCCCCCGGTCGGACGTCGTACGCGGCGAACCACCCGCCGCCAGCGCCGGCGCCGTCGCGCGACAAGTTGGGCTCCGACGCGATCTCCGAGTTTCTGCACACCTGGCCTCGGACTTTCGCGCCCGCGGGGAATAAAGGGCACCCCTGGCGGATCGTCACCGTCGCGTACCCGGAGTGCTCGGTCGCGACGCCGCGCGTGCTGAACGGCGCGAGGCCGCACATCGGCCGCGGCGTCGACCCCTCAAGCGGCGTCAAGCTCTGCGATAAAAACACGAGGCCGCCGCATTCGCCGTAGATGACGCCGCCGCCGGCGGCGAACGCGGTGATCGCCATCCGAAGCGGACGGTTCGACGCGAGCGCGTTCGCGTGCTGCTCCGGGTACCCGCCGCCGAACAGGATCCCTTTGCACCCGGTCGGAAGCGAGTCCCCGGCGAGGGGAGAAAACGCGACGAGCTCCGCCCCCGCTGCTTCCAGCAACGCGAGGTTCTCCCGGTAGTAGTGACAGAACGCCGCGTCTCGCGCGACGCCGATGCGCACGCCGCCGCCGCCGCCGCTGAACGTCCTCGGGATCAAGTGCGACGCCGCGTTCCCGCCGACGCCTCGAAGGTGACCGAGCGCGTGGCCGATCCTTCCGAGCGGGTTGTTCTTTTTCGGCGTCTTGCGAGCGTTCGGCGAGCCGTCCACCCCGCCGCCGCGTTTCGGCGTCGCCGGCGCGCGTTTCGGCGACTCCGGGATCGCGGGAAACTTGTTCATGTCCCTCCCGCCAAAGTTTTCCGAGTTTCGCGACGGCGACATCGGCGGCGAGGTCGCCGCGCCTTCCGCGTCGCCAGGGTCCGCGACGCCAGGGTCCGCGTCGTCGTTCTCGTCGTCGTCGTCGTCGCCGTCGCCGTCGCCGACGAAATCCCCCGCCGCGGCGAGGAGCGCGCTCAGGTCCACGCCCGCGCCGACCGCGTCCGCGAGGTGCGCGGCGATCCCGGTGACGAACTCCTCGCCGTCGAGCGACGAGCGGTTGCTCCCGTCTAACGAGCTTCGGTGATCCGCGTGGGCCCCCGCGTCCCCGGACGCCTTCCCGGACCCCCGCGCTCTGTTGTCTCCCTTTTCGCCGCCGCCGCCCTTCCCAGCCGCGTCTCTTCCCCCGCTCCTTCCCCGCTCCTTCGTCGACGCGCCGCCGTCCTCGTTACCGCCAGCTACAACCTGCGACTGCCCCAAGCTCGTCCCGCCGCCGGCCATGAGCGCCTTGTTCGCGACGATCGCGAGCTGCCGCCGTCGGTCGACGGATGACGCTCCCGAGACGCCGCCGCGTCCCGTCGTTAGAAAATTCGTCGCGCCGTCCGCCGACTCCAACGTCCTCACCGCGCCGTACACCTCCACGCCCAAGTCCGCGGCGGTGATCGCGTCGCGTATGATCTTCGCGTGCGCCTCGTTCTTCGTGTTGTTCAGCACGACCCCGGCGACGACGACCTCGTCGTCGAACGCGAGGCATCCCTTCAACACCGCCGCCGCGCTCCTCGGCCGCAGAGACGCGCAGTCCAGCACGAGGATCACGGGCGCGCCGAGCCACTTCGCGATCTCTCCCGTGCTTCCCCGCTCGTCGCCCTCCACGCCGTCGAAGAGCCCCTCCGCGCCCTCCACGATCGCGACGTCCGCGTCGATGGACGCGCGGCGGACCCTGCCGAGGTTGTACTCCTTGGAGAGCATCCACCCGTCGAGGTTGTACGACGGGCGTCCGGTCGCCGCCTCGTGCAGCAGCGGGTCCGTGAGGTCCGGGCCGACTTTGAAGCCCTGGACGCGAAGGCCGCGCTGGCGGAGCGCGGCCATGACGCCGACCGCGACCGTGGTCTTCCCGACCCCGGCCTGGGTCCCCGCGAAGACGATGACCTTCATCGTTCCCGGTGCCGCACCGATTCGACTCGATCCCGCGTCCGTCCTCGCGCGGCGCCGCTCGCGTCCTTCTCGCGTCGGCTCGCGTCGCCGTCTACGGACGCGGCATCGCCCTCGCGACCGCGTGAAGAAGCGCGCGTCTCGGTCTGCCGCGCGCGATGTGGCGTTCCCACCCGGCGAGTCGCGAAGTGCGAGGGCGGGAAGGGGCGCACGCGCACGACGTCAGATAAAGTTGTCGCCTCGGGTGCGCGTGCGTTCCATTTCACCCACCCCGTAGTTTCAACATTTGATCGCGTCCGGTTTCAACTGACCGATGAATTTTATGGAATCGCCCGCATACGTCGGTCAAAGGAGTCGAGTCTCGAGATAGTCTCGCGGCCGCTTCGCATCAGTCATCGTGTTTTTTCGCCGTGCGCATCCCGCGCGACGACACTCGCCCACGCGCGTAAGTCACGCACGATGTCTTGCGCTGCCGCATTTTCCCTGTCCGCGCGCGCGGCGGTCTCCGTCCGCGTCGCCACGCCGTCCACGCCCAAGCGAGGTGCGCGCGCTCTCCCTTCCCGTCGTTCGGATAATGCGCGGAACCCGGTCGCTACGCGCTGAGGGCTTAGGGTTTGTTTTCCCGCGGCGTCGACGTCGCGCCGGATGTGCCATCGCGACGGCGCGTCCGCGGCGATTCAATCCGCGCGTCTCGCGCGAGGCGTTCACCGCGCGCGTCTTCGCGTCGGCGCGTCGACGTCTCGGCGGCGTCTTCGCGTCGCCGGCGTCCGCCGCGCGTCGTCCGCGCGCTTTATCCACACCGAATCGGAGGCGGTGGAGGACCAATGCCCCAGGGTTGGGTTTTTTCCCCCGCCGGCTCCGAGACGCTTCAGCGTCGACACCGCGCGAAGTCGTCCGTCGCGACCATCAACTGACGCGCCAGCACCCCACCCCCCCATTCCACCCTCCTATCTCATCAGCGACGGTCGCGACGACCCCGGTCGCGGGCCTCACCCCGAAGCAGTCGCGTCGCGTCAAGCGTCACACGAAGATTCGCTCCAAGGTGAACGGCACCCCGGACCGCCCTCGGATCTCCGTGTACCGCTCGAACCAGCACACGTACGTGCAGGTGATCGACGACGAGAACCAGAAGACGCTTCTCGCGATCGGGACGATGTCCAAGAACGTCAAGGAGGTCGTCGGCGGCGAGGAGTGGAAGAGCAAAACCGTGGACGCCGCGAGAGAGGTGGGCAAGCAGCTCGGCGAGGCGTGCGTCGCGAAGGGGATCAAGTCCGCGGTGTTCGATCGCGGCGGGTTCGTGTACCACGGCAGGGTTAAGGCGGTCGCGGACGCGTGCCGCGATGCGGGCGTGGAGTTCTGATCATCTCTTCGGAGGAGAAGGGAGGAGAGAGGCGACTGGCGCGACGGATTAGCCGTCCGCCCTCGACCGCTCCCGCGACGACGGCGCGTTAGCTGAGCTTGTAATAACCCGCGAGGACATTCTTTATCGCTCGGTCTCGACGCTCGAATCGTCCGCGCGCGCGACCGCCTCGTTCCTCCTTTAGATCCTCGTCGCCGACGGAAGGACCTTTTCTCGCGCGAGCAGGCGTCTTACGGTAGTATTTTTCGACGGTCTAAACGACGAGTCATTTCTTCGGGGTTTCTTCGAGATCGATGAGAGGCTCTCCGCGCGCCCTGCCTGTTCGTCGTCGACGCCGGTACGAGCGCCATCGAGCCGTCCCTCGTCACACCGACCGACGCCCTCACGCGTGTCCGTTGAATCGCCAGCCTCGTCGTCGTAACGATGGCGTCCACGTGCTCCTTCGTCGGCGCCACCGCGCCCATGCGCGCGCGCGTTACCGCGCGCCGCGGTCGCGCGCCGCGCGCGTCCGTCGCGCCGCGCGCGGAGACCTCCGCGGTCACGTGCGCGGTCACGCCCGCGACGGTCCAGCAGCGGTCCGGCTCCGCGACCGTCAAGGGGACGTCGCGCAAGCAGAACGAAGACCGCTTCGCCTCTTACGTGCGTCGTCCGTCGTCCCGCGCCCCTCGCCCCTCTCTTCCTCTCTTCCTCTCGCGCGCGCGGGGCGGCGTCCGCGTCGTCCCCGACGGCGTCGAAGCGGCGGACGTCGAAAATGTTATCCACCTTCCCGATCGCTCGCGCTGACCCCGCTCGCCCTCCGCGCTCGACCGACAGGCGAACGCGAACGCGCCGGAAGGCACGCCGTACGCCATCTACGGCGTGTACGACGGCCACGGCGGCTTCGCCGTGAGCGAGTGGCTCAAGACGAACCTCGCGGACATCATCCTGAAGGAGTGGCCGCGGGCGGATTTCTGCCTCGAGGCGCTCTCTCAGGCGTGCGTGAAAGCGGACTACGAGCTCGTGCAGCCGCCCCCGGGCATCATGGGCGCGTTCGGCGAGAGAGGCGTCGGCGGCTCGAAGTGCGGCTCCACCGCGGTCGTCGCGACGCTCTTCCAGGAGGGCGGCTCCACGAAGCTGTGCACGGCGAACGTCGGAGACGCCAGAATCATCCTCGTGAGAGACGGCAAGCCGGTGCAGATGTCCGTGGATCACATCCCGGACGACGAGATGGAACGCCGACGGATCGACGCGGGGAACCCGAACTTGAGGAAGTCGCTCGTGACGTTCACGGAGGGGAGCTGGCGCGTCGGCGGCGTCCTCGCGTTGTCCCGCGCGTTTGGCGATTCGTTCTTGAAAGAGTCCGGGAGGTTCGAAGGCTTCGGCGAGCGGAACGCGGACTACGGCTCCGGGTTCGGGTTGAACGCGGAGCCGGACTGCTACATCGAGCAGCTCACGGACAAGGACACGTGGCTGATGATGTCGTCGGACGGTTTGTTCGAGAACAACGCCCGAGGCGGCGGCGGCGGATTCACGAACGAAGAGATCGCGGATTTCCTCACCGCGGCGTCCCCGGACGCGACCCCGGAGTCGCTCGCGAAGGAGCTGTGCAGCATGGCGGTGTCCAAGGGCAGCACGGACGACGTGACCGTGACCATCATGAAGCTGTGAGCGGCGGCGCGAGCGATGCGTGAACCGGTCGGTTGGAACGGCGGGGAGGGGCGCGGGGCGGAGCGCGAGCGGGGGAAAAGGTCAGTCGCGGCGGCGGCGGCGACGACGGGGGGCGACCGAGAGAGAGCATTAGAGCACGGACGCGCGCGCGTTCGTGCGACGGAGTATTACCGCGCGCGGATGCTTCCGCGCGCTTACAGATAAAACGTACGCAAACACGCACGTCGCGAGCCTCGATGCTCCGCGCGCGCCTCTCCCCTCCGCCCCTCCCTCCGCCAAAAAAAAAACTCACTCGAATCTGAGAAACCTTCAGATGATGACGTCGACGGCACCGCGACGACGTTTCCTCGACGTCCTCGCGCGCCGCGGGCCACTTCCTCTCGCGCAGCGCACCGCCGCACGACAAGAAACGACATGGCCTCCATCGCCGCTTCCTCCGCCGCCGCCGTGCGGGTGCGTTTCTTTGTCTCCGCCGTCCCCACCCCGCGCGTCGCGACCGATCGCGCGCGCGCGTCGTCGATCCAGCATTCCGTCCATCTGGCTCGCGAGCGTGCCAACTCGGACGACCGCGACGACGCCGACGACGCCCTCCCCCCCCGCTCTCGTCGCGCAGGTCAACGGCACGTCGCGCGTCGCCGCCCGGCGCGCCGCTTTCAACGGCCTCGCGATCAGGTACGTCTCGACCGCGACCGTTCGGCGTCGACCGAGCCCTCCGCCTCGCGTCGTCCGCCTCGCGCCCTCGTCAAAGATATTGATATCTCCAAACTCACGCGCTCGCGTCCTCGATTCCTCAGGCCCCGCGCCGTCGCGACGCCCGCGAAGGCGACCAAGCTCGTCGCCGTCGCGTCCGCCGCCGACGACAAACTGGAGAAGAAGATGCCCGCCGGGTTCAACGCCGCGCTCGCGCTCGCGGTCGCCGGCTCCGTGTTCGCGACTGACGCCGTCTCTCCCGAGTTGGCGGAAGCCGCGCGCTCCAGCGGTCGCATGGGCGGCAGCTCCTTCCGCGCCCCCTCTAGGTCCGCGCCCAGAGGCGGCATGGGCGGGCAGTCCAGGCAGGCGCCGCCCGTGAACGCCATGCGCGGCGGCATGGGTTACGGCTACGGGATGCCGATGTTCATGCCGATCAGCCCGTTCGGGTTCGGGTACGGGTTCGGGTTCGGCGGGCTCGGGTTCATCTTCAATGCGCTTCTGTTCTTCTGGGTCGTGAACTTCGCGCTGTCGTTCTTGTCGAACATGACCGCGGGGAACGATAAGAGGGACGACGACGACATGGGACCTCCGCGGTATTAAACTCCCGTGCCTCGTGTGCGTGCGTGATCGACAATGTCGCTATGATCGCTAAATAGTTTCTTCGTAATATCCATCGACGCGTCTTCCTCCTTTTCGCGCCGCGCCGCGCCGTCGCGTCGTCCCCTCTCCGTCGCTCCCCCTCTCTCCCTCTCTTCAGAACCACGGCATCCACCAGATGTACATGCTCCCGAGGTGCTTTCTGCTCGTCGCTTCTTCTATGAGCCGCCGCGTCTGCCCCTGCGTGGACAGCGGCAGCGACGGCGCGGCGCCGACGCCGACGACGACCCCCTCGAGCCGCGACCGGATCTTCTCCAACGCGTCCTTCCCTCGCTCGATCTCCACGCCCTCGTCGGCTTTACTCTTGCCCGAGCTCGTCTTCGGCCCGGCGCGGCTCGCGGCCCACTCCACGAGCGGATCGTGCACGAACGTCTCGAGCACGCTCATCAGCGCCTCGCGGTGCGACCGAAGAACCCCCAGCGTGATCTCGCACACGCGCATGAAGGTGCCCTCGTACCCGCCCGCGCCGAGGCCGTCGACGATGTTTTGCGTCAACCGAAACGGCACCATCTCGGGGGTTTCGAGCTCCAAGCCTTTATCGAAAAGACACGAGAAGTCGACGTGGACGCAGTCCCCGGACTCTTGGTCCAAGAGGATGTTCTCCCCGTGCCGGTCGCCTAAACCGACGACGTGACCGACCATGGACCACACCGCGGCGGTGTGCGAAAACGCCGTCCTCGCGCCGTGCCACGCCGCCGGCCGGTCCTTCCACCGGTTCAAAAACCACCGGTGAAACACGGGCGGGAACTTCTCTAAGATCTCGCTCATCCACGTCAACGGTCGCGACTTTAGGCGCTCGTGCATCTCCTTCACTTCCACGAGCGTCCGCTTGTGGTACAGACCGTCCTGGACGTACAGCGCCTGTAAAACGTGACGCAACCCCGTCGTGTTCGGGACCCACTCGATGAGACCGCAGTCCTCCGTGAGCGGAATCACCGCGAACGTGCGGAGGTACAGACGGCGCTTCCGAGACGACGGGTCCCTGGCGAGCAGTCTGTTTAACATCGTCGTGAACTCCATCATGCGCAAGTCCTTGCGCAAGTCGTCCTTCGGTTTACACAAGAACGCGTACTCGTGCCCGTCGGAGCCGATCACGGTGAGCTTTTTCGGTTTTTGCAGCGACGACAAGACGGCGACTTCGTCTTCGATCGACGCGATCACCGCGACGTCCGACGGGAACGCGGACCACTCGGACACCGTTGGCACGAGGTTTGGCTGCGCCGCGTTCCGTAACGTCGCCGGCGGGAGCGACGGCGTCAGCGAACTCTGCCCGGGGACCATGACCATCATCGCGCCGAGTTCCTCGCCCTCGACGAGCGACGCGAGTTTCGGAAACTCGGCTCTCAAGGAAAACGTCTTCGGCGCGCGCCGGTCCGCGCCCTTCGGGGGCTCGTATTTGCACAGCTTGATGAGTTGCGCGGCGAGCTCGGAGGACTGGTCGAACAGCGGGCGCATGGACGCGTCCGCGTCTTGCTTCGCCTTCTGAAGGATCCTCGCCGCGGCTTCCGCGCGTTCCGGGTGCGTGCTCCGCGCCATCGCCGTCATGCTCCACAGGACTTGGTTCGGAAAGTTCTTCACGAGCCGGTACAGGATCTGATGGATGAGCTGTCGGACTTCCGCGTGCGGGTGGCACAGCCGCGACGTGAGCTGCGGCAGCGCGGGGAGCCACGTGTACAACGGAAGCGACCCGGAGAACTGCTTCAAGACGTCCGTCGCTTTCTTCGCGACGCGGCGTTCTTTTTGCTGCTCCGCCGTGAGCGTCGAGGTCGTCGCCGCGGCCGCGCCTCGTCCACTCGACCTCGCCGCGGTCGCCTCGTGCGCGGCCGCGGCGGCTCCGACGTCGAACCACAGCGTCAACATCCTCGGCAGGGACTCGTACACGTGCGAGTGCCCGTAACGAAGCGACGTCGCGTACCGCGTGATGATGTCGTCGACGTAGTCCAAAGACTTTTCATCCGCCTCTTGGTTCTTACGCCTGCGCTGGCCGCCGCCTTCGCCGTCCGCGCCGCCGCCCATCGCCGCGCGCTGCTGCTCTCGCTTCTGCGCGTCCTTCAGGAGGTCGTCGAGGTACTTCGCGACGTGGAAGTTCGCCTTCTCCGTGTGCTGCTGGTCCTTCAGGACGTTGCTGTAGATGTGCAACACGTCCGTCTTCTGTCGCTGCCCCGTCGCCGCGCTCCACCGCGCGAGCCGCAGCATCGCGTGAGACGCCGTCTTCGTGTCCGTCTCTCGCAAGGACACGTCGTCCAGCGCTTCCTGGATCTCCACGACCGCGCGGTGCTGCCTCCCCGTCGCCCACAAGAGCTTCGCCTGCTCGACCGCGAGCGCCATCCCGGGGCTCGGTCGCCCGTCCCTGCGCCCGGATACGACGTCGACGGGCGCGGACTCGAGCGCCGCTCGCGCTTCGAGCAGCGCGAGCTGCGCCGCGCCGTGGTGCCCGGTGTGCCTGCACAGCTTAGCCTGCGCGAGCCACGTGTACGCGCCCGCGTCGCGCGCGTCCAGCGCCGCGTACGTCGCTCGGCGCAGCGCGAGGATGGGCTCCCGCGTCGCGAGCGCCGCGGGCGTCAGGTCCAGACGCGCCTCCCAGTCGCGGAGGAGGTCCATCCCTCTCGCGCGCCCGGGCGTCTTCTCGCTCAAGGACGACACCGCGCGCATCGCTTCCTCGGCCTCGCGGATCAAGTGCAGCTGCACGATCGCCGGGTGCGCGCGTCGGTAGCTCCCTTCCATCGCCGCGGCCGCGAGCGGGGTGATCACCGCGTCTCGAGCCGCCGTCGCCGCGAGCGTCACCCCCTCGGCGTCTCTGCGGTGCAACGCGAGGAGCACCCTGCCGATCGCGGCTTCGCCTCCGGGGCGGCCGTTCGCGCCGCCAAAGCCGCCTCCCGCGCCGCCGCCGCCGCCTCCCGCGCCGCCGTTCGCGTCGAGGACGTCGAGGAAACCTTCGAGGGAATCCCACCGTCCGAGGCGCCACGCCGCGGCGGCGCCCGCCTCCGCGAGCTCCGCCCTCGCCGCCGGGCGCTCCTGAATGAGCGCGTCCGCCTCTCGTTCGAGCGCGCGGAGGTGCCCGAGGCCTTGAAGGCATCGAAGACGACCCCACTCCGCGGGGTCGAGCGCGGTCGTCGTGCTCGAGGTCTCGCCGCCGCCGAGGCTTCGGTTGTGGGTGGCGCCGCCGTTCCTCTGCGACGCGGACTCGTAATGCGTCAACGCCTCCGTCCACTCCCCCGCTTGCTCGTGCTGTAACAGCGCGTCCTCCGCGCGTCGTCGCGCGGCCGCGACCGCGCCGTGCCCGCCGCTCGCTCTCGGACGCATCCGCGAGATGGCCTCCAGGGCGTCCGGTTCCGCGAGCGCGTGGTGCGTCGCCGCGAGGAACGCGGCGGAGGCGTCGTCCAACCCGCCGCCCTCGGGCTCGCCCGATCGCAGCGCCGCCTGATTCAGAACGTTCTTCCGCGCGCGGAGATGATCTTCAAAGTACAGAAGCGCTCGCGCGGGGGCGCCGCACTTCAGCGCCGCGCGCGCGAGCAGCTCGCGCGGGACGGACTCGAGGAGGGCGCCGGCGTTCTCGAGCGTCCGCGCCACGCGTTCGTCCGCGGATTTTTCCTTGAGCGCGGCGACGGCGGCGGACGTCTCCTCTTTCCACGCCGTGAGCTGATCGAGGAGCGTGAACACCGCCTGCGCGGCGAGCTCGGCCTGCTCGCCGTGGCTCCCTTGCCGCTGCGTGAGCTGATGAATGTCGCCCTCGCCCCAGGCTTCGCCCGCGGCGTCGTGCAGCACGGCCATGATCTCCGCGCCGACGTTTTGCAGCCGTTCGTTCGCGGCGCCGTCGCCGTCGCCGTCGCCGCCGCACGCGAGCGCGTCGAGCACCATCCGGGGTAACAAAAACAGCATCGTGCGCGTGTCGTGCCTGAACACGCCCGCGCTGCACGCGGCGAACAACGGCGCGTCCGGTCCGGTGGCCTCCACCGCGAGCGCGCGGCACCACGCGTACATCCACCGTCGAAACGTCGGCCCGCCCGGGGCGGCGTACAGCGGCCGCTTCGTCTGCGGTTTCGCCGGCTTTTGCGTCAGGCAGTACATCGACGTCAGCCCGGGGGCGAGCAACACCCTGACGTCTTCGGGGAGCGCGCGCCAGAACGCCTCGCCCTCGACGGTCGCGCCGTCCGGCAGGCGTTGCTCGCCGCCGCCGCCGTGGCCGTGCGACGACGGCTCCGAGAGCGACCGCTCCGCGGACGCGACGACGTCCTCCGCTCGAACCATCGCGGGTCGGCACCCGACGTGCACGAGAATCTCTTGCACCGCGAGCGCGCTCGCGTCGAGCATGTCCACGTCGTTCGCGCCTCTCACCGTCCGCGCGATGTGGTCGCACAGCAGCGCCGCGGCGAGCGCGTGCGTCGTGCCGGTCGTGAGCGACTCCGCGGACGCGGTCGGCATGTCGATCCGCCCGGGATCCACGGCGCCGAGCTCGCCAAAGCACTGCGCGGCGAGACGCTGCGCGCGGCGGGATAAGATGGTTCGGTTCTCTCCCGCGCAGCACCGGAGTAACGCGGCGACCAGGCGGCCGACGACCGCGGGCGCGGCGACGCCGTCCTCGCCCGCGCCGGCGAGGAGCGCGGACACCGCGGACGGGTCAGCGCGGAGCGCGCGTCGGAGCTCGCCCAGCGCCGTCGCGCGCACGGCTTGCGATTCGTCCTCCGCGCCGTCCGTCAACGTCGCGAGCAACGACGGCAGCGGGACCTCGCCGCGCTCTTTACTCACCGCCGCGTTCGCGCGCGCGAGGCGCTCGCACGCGGGGAGCATGGGCAACCGCGCGAGGTGCCCGCGCATGCACTTGGCGCCCGCGCGTAAGACGAGTTCATCGATCACCTCCGCGGCGGCTTGCGCGTTGTCCACGCCCGTCGCGGTCGCGCCGTCGTCGCCGCCGCCGAGGCTTCCTCGTCTCCCTGCGCTCGCCCCTCCGGACGCGGACGCGGTCGCGGTCGCGGTCGCGCCGCCGCCGCCGCTCGCGCCGTCGGGGAGATGCGGGAGCATCGCGACGACGACTCGCCCGGCGACGCGTCGGAGGTGGTCCGGCGCGTGCATCGCGAGTTGCTTCACGACGAGCGACCACGCCGCGAGCGCGTCTTGCCGTAAGAGCGTGCTCGGTCGCTCGAGCGCGCTCGCGAGGTGTGCCATGACCTTCGGCGCGAACTGCGGTAAATGCGGGCCGATGAGGTGAACCATGATCGTGAGCGATCGAAGGAATCGTCGCTGCGCCGCGGCGTCGCCGCTGCGGTCGTTCGCGTCGCCCATGACGAGCCACGTGAAGTGCGGGCGGAGGAAATCCGGCACGGACGGCGGCGACGCGTCCGACGGCCCCGAGCGCGACGACACGAGCTTCGCGAGCGTCCCCAACACCTGCTGCAGGCGCTCCGCCTCCGTCTGCGGGTCCGCGGCGTCGTCCGCGCCCGCGCTGCGAATCAGCGCGCGCATGAGCTCTTTCTTGTGATCCGCGACGAGCACCTCGAGCTCGCATCCGGTTTGCGACACGAGAAATTTACGGCACTGCTCCACCTCCTCCGGGGTTCGCTCCGCGCCGCTGTTGATGAGGTCCGCGATCGCGGTGTAGCACCAATCTTGAAGGATCCCCGCGACGTTATACTCCGGACCTAACCGCGTCGCGTACGCTTTCAGCGTGGCCACGTCTTGGTTCTCCACGAGACGAGGCACCGCCGCGGGGAGAAGCTCGACGAGCACGTTCCGCTCCGGCATCCCCAGCAGCGCCTCCGCGAGCGTGGACAACAACCCGGGCGCGTTCGGTAGCTGCACACCCAAGTGCGTCGCGATGATTCTGTTCCCCAGGAGAAGCTCTCGCGGCCGCACGCCGCGTCGCGACGCCGCAGCGCGGACGAGACCGACCGCGGCGGCTCGAACCCCCGCGTCCTTGTCGTCGAGTCGATGAAGAATCACAATCAACGCCGCGGTGAGGGCGTCCGGGTACGGGATCGCCGCCGCCGCGGCCGCGAACGTCTGCAGCGCCGCCTCGCGCGTCGCCGCGTCGGACGCGTCTTCCACGTTCGTCTTTAAACGCTGCAGCAGGGAGAGACCCGCGGCGACGACGGCTTGGTCGTCGGACTCGTCCGCGCCCGCGGCGACGGTTTCCGCGTCCAGAAGCGCGCCTCTCGCCGCGAGCGACGGCGCCGCGTCCCTCAACGCCGCGCGGACGCTCGCGTCGGGATGCAGCGCGAGCGGCGTCGCCGCGGCGGACAGCGCCGCCGCGCCTTTCAGCGTCTCCGTCCCTCGCTGCGCGTGGTCTAACACGCGCGGCAGCGCCTTCAGCGCCGCGGTCGCGACCGCGGCGTCTTCCTCCGCGGACATCATCGCCGTCAAAACCTTCCCGGCGGCGGCGACCGGGAGGATCGACTTCCCCTTATCGTCCTGCGCTCCCCCACCGGATTCGGACGTGATCGCGCGCACGACGGCGACGTCGAACGCCTCCGCCGCGGCGTCGCGCTCGGCGGCGCCGTCGACGGCCGCCGCAGCCTTGATCGCGCGTCGCCCGCAGTCGCGCGCGACGCGTCGTAACGCGACGTCGCTCGCGCGTTTCCCCGCCAGCGCCGCGCCCGCGGCGGCGAGCCCGCCGACCGCGACCGCGACCGCGGCGCGCACCCTCGGCTCCTTCTTCGCGTTCTCCGCGAGCTTCGCGACGAGCTTCAGCGGGGTTTGCGTGTCGACGTTCTGCGCCGCGAGGAGGTGCGCCGCGGGCGTCGCGCACGCCGCCGCGGCTCTCGTCCCGGGGTCCTTGTCCGACACCGCGGCGCTCAACGTCCGTCGCGCCGCCGCCGCCGCGTTCGTCGTCGCCTTCGCCCTCGCCGCGGTCGCGGACAGGACCGCGCGCAGCGACGCCACCTTCGCCGCGCGCGCTGCGTCCGCGGGGGCTTCCTCCGCGCCCGTACTCCACGGCCATAGCAACACGTCGACGGTGAGGTCGTCCTCGTGGAACGCGGCGTTTCCGCTCGTTTCCTCCGTCGGCCGCGCGCGCAGGAGCGCGTCCGCGGCGTCGACGACCGCGGCGAACGCGCGCGCGGCGGCGCCGTCTCCGGTGTCGTGCGCCCTTCGCGTCCACTTCAGCCACTCGTGCATGGAGCTGATCCCCGCGTGTAACAATTTCGCGGCGCCGCCCCCCGCGGCGGCGGCGGCGACGCGCGCCAACCCCGCGGCGCAGCGCGCGCGCTTCGGCGCCGCCGCCGCGCGGTCGCCGCTCCCGTGCCCGGACGATGGCCCCGGGGCGAGCTGCGACAGCGCGGTGATCACGCACTCCTCTATCCACGCGAGCGCGGCTTCGTCGCCGTCGCGCGTGGACGACGGCCCGGGACCGGCGCCGGCGTCTCTCGCGCCGCGTCCGCCCCCGCCGACCCAGCCGTCGACGCCCGCGGACACGCGCCTTCTCTTCGCGCGCTCAGCCTCGCTCGCGTTTCCACTCTCTACTCCCGCCCCCCTCGATTTGAAAGCGGGCTCTAAGCACTCCACGAGCGCGTCCGCGACGTCCTCGGATCCGGCGTGCGGTAACAACGACGCGAGCGTCGACGCGACGGCGTCCCCGCGCGCGTTGACGCACGCCGCGAGCGCTCTCAACGACGCCGCGCGCAGCGCGTCCGCGACGACGCCTTCTCCCGCGGTGATGACCGCCGCGGCCGCTTCCGAGAGCGGTTCCGCGGCCGCCGCGCTCGCGGCGTCGTCGCACACGTCCAAAACGGCGTTGATGCACGCCGCGAGTTCGGCGTCGAACGCGTCGCGTTCGCGTCCCGCCGGCGGAACCGCGCCGCCGCCGCCCGCGGCGCGTTCACGCAGCGCGACCGCGAGGTGACGCAAGCACGTCTCCGCGGGGAGGACTGAGCTCGGGAGCTCGGTCGCGACGCCCCGGAGCGCGGCGAGCGCGGCGTGGCGTAACCCGACCGCGGCGGAGTCGTTCGCCAGCCCCGCGCCGCCGCCGCCGCCGCCGCAGACGTACGCCATCGCCGTCGCGTGCGACGGCGAGAGGTACCCCGCCGCGGCTTGCGGGGATAACCGCAGCGCGTTGTTCAACAGCTTGCACGCCGCAGACGCGAGCGTCACCGCGGCGTCCACGCCGTTGACCTCGACCATGAGCCCGATGTCGTTCGCGTCGACGTCCATCGCGGCGTCGGCGGCGCCGTTCGTCGTCGTCTTCGCCGCCGTCGACTTGGAGGCGCCGTCTCCTCCTCTCGTGGTTCTCGTGTTCGCGTTCGAGCCCGATCGCAGCGGCGGCGTCCCGGTCCCGCCGTCCGCGATGCACAAGTGCCTCAGCGCGTCCTTGAAGCAGCACAACACGACCGAGTTGCCGTGTCCGTCGTGATGCCCGGGTTTGAAACCGCGCGTCGACGACGACAGCTGTATTTCCAGCGCCTCGGACGCGTCTTGAAGGAGCTCGGAGATGCCGACGAAGACGGACGCGAACACCTTAGGGTCGTTCGCGTTCGAGAGCTGCGCGACGAGTTGACAGAGCGTCCACACGATCGAGTCCGTGACTTTCTCGCTGCGGCGGGCGGTAGGAGGCAGAGCGCGTGAGCGACGGACGGTTCGAACGCGCGCGAGTCGGGAAAAATAATGTGTGCACGGGTGCCGAGATGCCGAACGCGAGATCTAGGTCCAGAGGAGGGACGAACCTCAAACCGGCGCACGTGAGCAGGGGGAGGAGGTGCGCGAACATACGGACGCAGAACGCGGCGCTGCCGGTGAAGACCTCCGCGTGTCTTTTGAGCGCGACCTGCAAGAGCGCGAGGAGCGATCGCGTCTCGCGCTTGTGCACTGCGAACGAAAAACACGGAGGGAAACGAGGAACGCGTCAGCGACGTGGGCGTGATGCGCGCGGCGCGGGCGCGCGCGGGCGGCGAGCGACGTCGGACGATATCTACACGATACACGACGTCGAGGCGTGATGACGAGCGCGCGCGATACGCACCGTTCAGAGGCGTGAAGTACGCTTCCATCAGCTTCCGCAACACCGATCGCAGCTGCTCCTTCACGGTCGACGCGGACGCGGCCGCGCCTCCAGCGTTCCCGCCGCCCGCCTGGTCCACCTTAAGGAGGCGCTCCAGCTCGCGCAGGTCCTTCTCCAGCGCGGTCTTCGCGCGCCCGCTCGCCGGCTCATCGCCCGCGGCGGTCGCGGTCGGCGCCATCGCGCCCGATGCTCTAGACGGGAAGGAGATTTGAACCAGCACGACGACTGGACCGGCTGCGCCGGGCTGGTCGGGCACTGCGCGCGGTGATCGGTTTTTCCTTTCTTCCTTCGTTCTTTCGTCGCGCCGTACGCGGTCTTTCTCTCTACGCGTCGTTCGCTCGTTCGTTCATTCGCGCTCACTCCCCGGCCGCCGAGATCACCCTCCTCACCGCGGCGGCGACCATCGCGGCGACCGCGCCTTCGTCCGTCTCCGTCTCCTCCGTCCTCGCGTCCGCCGCCGCCGCCGCCGCCGCCACCGCCGCCGCCGCCGCCGCCGCCGCCGCCGCCGCCGCCGCCGCCGCCTCTCTCGCGGGGACGTCCACCTCCTCCATCGCGGGCGCGACTTCGCGCTCCACGCGCTCGACCGGGCACTTCACGTACAACTGCCCTTTCCGCGTCATCAGCGCCGTCGTTCTGTTCGGGTCCGCGTAAATCCCGGGTATCGTCACGCGCTTCCGAAACGGCACGAGCGGGAACCCGGAGTCGATTCGCCCCGGGTGTTTCGGATCGCCGGACACGTGCACCTTCGTGACGGGCGCGCGACGCGGGTACCCGCAATCCTTTATGGACTCCAGGCGGACCTTGACCTCGTCCGGGGTCATGTCCGGCGCGGTCACGAACAGGTCGAACGTCTCTTTCGTCCGCTGCGCTCTGATCTGGACGTGGTCCGCGGGCGCGTACGAGCCGTCCGCCGTAAGCGCCACCTGCACGTCCTCCTGCCACGCCCGGGGCACCGCGTCGCCGTCTCTGAACGCGAACGTCTCGGGGCCCGGTCGGGTGAGGTCGACGAGGATCCACTCTTTCGGGATCTTCGGCGGGCCCGCGGCGGTCGCGCGCGCGCGCGCGCTGTCCCTGGTCGCGGCTTCGCCGGCGTCGGCGGCGCCGGCGCCGACGTCCGCGCCGGCGTCCGCTGCGGACGCGGACGCGGACGCGGACGCGGACGCGGCGCCGCCGAGGACCTCCGCGAGCGGGGACACGTAGTGACACCCCGTCGCCGCGTCCCATCGACGCACGATGTGATGCGGCTCTTTTCCAGACGCGGCGCCGCTCTTCAGCGCGACGACGCGGCCGATCGCGCGGAGAGGGTTCACGATGGGGCCCACGTCCCCGGGGGGGATCGTCGCGGTCGTCTCGCCCTCGCCCTCGCCCTCGCCGCCGTTTCCGCCGCGGGCGCCCTCCACGGCGGCTTTCCACCGCTCCTCGTCCCACACCTCCCGGTCGTCGTCCTCGTCGTGGTCCCACGTCGCGCGTCGTAAAAAGTCGATCAGCGCGGGGTTCACGACGTTCGGGTGCGTCAGCGAGCACGCGTGGCCCGCGCCCTTGACGACGCACACGGGCTCCCCGCCGCGAATCGCCGCCGTCGTTTTCTTCGCGCGACTGATGCCGGCGGGCGATTCCGTGATTACGAAAAAAGTTCAGTTCATCGGTCAGTTGAAACGGGGCGCGATCGATCAAACGCGTGCGCAGAACGAACGCACCTCGCGTCGATCGCGACGTCCGCGTCGCCGTGCACCGCCATCACAGGGCACGTGATCTCCTGCATCCGGGCCGTGATGTCCTCGCGCGATTGCAAGCACGCGGACGCGGCTAGCAGCGTATCTCTGTTGTGCGTCTGCCACTTGTGCACCCACGGAACCGCCGCGTACACGTCGCCGATGATGATCCTCGCGAGCGCGTCGGTGATGGACGAGACCGGACCGTTATTGTACCACGAGTTGATCAGGAATGGTATCTCCCTGTACTTCGTCCCCGGGTCGTCCAGGTCGGACGCGGAGCCGATCAACACGATCGCTCGCACGCGCTTTTGATCGAGCAGCGCCGCGCGCAACGCGACGAACCCGCCTTGGGAAAAGCCGACGAGCGTCGCGGACCGCACGCGCAGACGTTTCATCAACGCGAGCACGTCGCGCGCGACGTCCCTGAAAACAATTCCAAACGTGAGAAAACTTCGTGATGAGAAGGTATAACGCGTGAACGCGTACCAGAAGGTAAACGTCTCGCCGTCGTACGGCGTCAGACCGAAGCACCGCGTGTCGAGCGCGATGACGCGAAACCCCGCCTCCGCGAGCGCGGCGATCTGCGGGTCGAACATCGTGTGGTCCATGAGGAAGCCGTGCACGAGGACGACCGCGGGCGCGGTCTGCGACGGCCCGTACGCGCCGTTGTCGACGTAGTGGATCGTCTGGCCGTTGACTTTGACGTCGTACGCGACCGGCGGCGGGGGCGCGGCGAGGCGCGGCGTCTCCGGGCCCAGGAGCGACGCGCGCTTGCGCTTGGCTCCCTCCGCGCCGCCGCCGGCGGCGGTCTTCGCGGTCTTCGCGGTCTTCGCGAACTTCGCCTCGCCCTTCGCCGCGCGCTTCGGCGGCGGCGGCGGCTTCGTGAAGAGGTCCGGCGGGCGCTTCAGGCGCTCGATGTCCGCTTCCCTGGACGCGAGCTCCGCGCCGCGGACCGGTCGCCCGGACGGGTCGGTCTCGTGCGTGGGCTGGGAGGCGTAGATGGACGTGCACGCGCGTCGCGCGCGGCGGCGCGCGCCGCTCCCGAGGTCCGACGGCGGCGTCGACTCCGTCTTCGCCGTCGCGGGCTGGGGCGGGGACGCGTCTTCCGCGTTCGGCGGCGGCGGCGCCGTCGTCGGCGCGTCGTCCGCGGGGTGCGCGACCTCGCCGGTCAACATGTCGAAGAGAGGGCGACGGCGCGAACGCGAGGGCGAGTGCGGCGGCGACGGCGCGAGCGCAGGGCGAGTGCGGCGGCGACGGCGAGAGGTGCTCGTAGAACGTGTTGGCTCTTCCGAGGATAGATACTGTCGAGGGCCTTTTTTTCTTTCTGTTCCTAGCTACTAGCTACGCTTCTTTAGGTCTAAACCCAAACGCCAAAACGGCGTCAGTTACACGCCCACAACAACTCCACCGCCTCCGCGTACTTCTCCCAACGCTCCAGAGACACCCCGCACGTCAGCATCGCCGCGCGCCGCTCCTCGCGCGCGCACGTCCTCGCGTGCGCTCTCAACGCCGCCGAGCGCGCCGCGTCCCTCGCCGACGCGGACGACCCCAACGCCGTCGTCGTCCTCCGCGCCACCGTCGCGACGGCGTCGCCCTCCGCGACGAGCGCGAGGAGATGCCCGCCGGGAACGAACACCGCGTCGCCTGGACGCGCGCGCGCGACGCGCGAAGAGTCCATCGCCGCGAACGTCGGCCAATCGACGGACGACGCGTCGGCGGCGGCGGCGCTCGAATCGCACGTCGCGCACAGGACGCTCCCTTCGACGACGCACAGCCACCGCGCGCGATCGGAGGCGTCGTCGTCGAAGGTGATCGCGCTCGAGGATGCGGTCGCCGACGCCGGCGGATCGACGCGTATGATCTCGTGAAGCTCGCCGCTTTTTTCTCGTCCCGCTTCGTCCTCTTCTTCTTTGTCGTCGTCGTCGTCGTCGCTGTCGTCGAAGACCGAAGCGGCGGCGGCAGCCGCCGCCGCCGCCGCGGCGTCCGCGCTCATGTCCGTCAGCGTCACCACGTCGTGATCCACGAGCTCTCGCCAGCCGCGATCGCTTCCTTCGTCGGCCGTGAACGCCGCCGGGGCGTTCAGAGCGACGCACTTGACGTACTCGTCCGCGGACCACGGCAGATGATGCAGCCGTTTTCGATCCGTCCCCGCCGCCGTCGCGCGCTTCGCTCGCGTCCAAAATCCTCCGTCGCCGCCTTCCTCCGCGTCCGCGGCGTCGGCGTCACCTCCGCCCGTTCCGACGCCATCAACGCCGATTCGCATCCCAGACGCGAACCGTCGGCTCTGCTCGATGAACTCCTCCGGGGACACCCCGTTCGGGACTCTCACGGACCCGACGACTTTACCGCCGTCGACGACGTCGACGACGACCTCCTCCTCCGCGAAGACGACGCCTCCGTAGAACCCGCGCTCACTCCGCCACGGCCACGATCGCCGGACGTCGTCCGCGTTCCTCTCCAGGTCGATCGCGAGGCACGCCGTCGTCGCGCCGGACGCGATGCCGGCGACGCGAGAGGCCAGCGCCGGCGACGCGAGCGCCTTCGCGTCCAACGCCGCGTCCGCGCGCGGCCTCAGAAAGAAAGGGCACGACACGCGAGGCGCCGCCGCGGCCTCTTCACGCGTCCTCTCGACGCGCGGCCGGTGCAGCGCCGCGGGGAAGTAGTTCCACGTCGCCGCGGCTAACGCGTCGCCGGCGAAGACGATCACGTCGTCGTCCGTCATGCGCGCCTCGACGTCGATCCACCCCGCGGACGCGCTTCCGTTCTCGCCGCCGCCGCCGCGAGGAGCGTACGGCGCGACTTCCAAGCCCGCGCGGAGCGAGCTCCTCGGCGCGACCGTCAGGATGGAGCTGTCCGTGTGGTCGCCGAGCCCGGACGCGGCGAGCGAGGACGCGTCCGCTTCCGTGAGCGCGTCGCGGCGGCGATAATGCAGCACTCGCATCGCGGTCAGCGACGCGTCGTCGTCGTCGTCGCCCGCGGTCTCGTCGCCCCCCCCCGCCGCGCGGCGATCGAGGAGCGCGGCGAGACCGTCGTCCGACCCGCGCGGGATCCCGAGGTGCGTCTCGAGGTCCGCGACGCACGCGCGCGCGATCGCTTCCAGCGCGTCGTAGAGCCTTCGAAAAGACGGCACCTCGGACGTCGACGCGCGAACCTCGAAGCACTCGTGCGTCCCGCCCTCCGCGGCGGAGTACCCTTCCGAGGACCCGCCGCCGCGGCTCGTCGCGCGCTTGGACGCGGCGTCGCGCGCGAAGAACGCGCGCGCGGCGTCGCGCGCGTCCGTCGTCGCGTCCGACGCGAGCGACGAGGGCGCCTGCGCGATCGCGAACGAGTGATGATGCAGATGCGCCGCGAGGCGTTCGGGGTCCCATCCGAGCGAGGTCGGGGAGAGGAGCGGGACGCGCGACGTCGGGTCGGGGGGGCGCGCGAGCGCGGCGTCGCGGCGCTCGCTCGCGTCCATCGCCCCCCTCTCGCGCTGTCGAGACTGCGAGACGCCGACCGACGCGACGACGACGTTCGTTTCCGCTTCCGATTCCGCCGCCCTAAAAGTTTTTCCGAGGTCGCGAAGAGCGACGCATTCCCCGACGCAGCAGCCCCTCCCACACACACACACACACACACACCCTCCCAGAGAGGCGCACGCCGGCGCCAGCCGCCGATCGCGACGCGACGCACATCGCGCGCATCGCGACCGCGACGAATTCAACGCTCGCGCGGGCGGACCGCGCTCGACGGACCGACGCGCGCGCGCGGTAAATCAAATCTCGGATTCGCCGACACCGCCGCCGCGCGCGCGTCTCCTCCTCCTCCTCCTCCTCCTCCCCCCCTCCGCGTCTGCCTCCTCCTCGAGGATGGAAGGCGTCGCCGTCGACGACGCTCCCAAGAGCGCGCTCGACGCGGTCCTCCTCAAGTCCGTGGACATGCCCGAGGGCACGCCCACGGTCCGCGGGTACGACTTCGAGGGCGCGCTGGACCTGCAAGCGATGTTGGACACGATGCTCACGTCCGGGTTTCAAGCGACGCAGCTCGGCAGGGCGGTGAACGAGGTGAACCGCATGATCCGATGGCGCCTCGCGGACGAGCCGATCGAGGACGACGAGAAGGAGGAGGAGAAAGACCCGGCGTTCCGCGCGGCGTGCCGGTGTAAGATATTCCTGGGGTTCACGTCCAACTTGATATCCAGCGGCGTGCGCGAGCAGCTGCGGTTCCTTCTGAAGCATAAGATGATCGACGTCCTGGTCACCACCGCGGGGGGCGTGGAGGAGGATCTGATCAAGGCGCTCGCGCCGACGTACTTGGGGGAGTTTCACTTGAAAGGCGCGGAGCTTCGGAAGCAAGGTCTGAACCGGATCGGGAACCTCATCGTCCCGAACGACAACTACTGCAAGTTCGAGGACTGGATCATGCCGATCCTCGACGCGATGCGAAGGGAGCAGGACGAGGCGGGAACGCGGTGGACGCCGTCCAAGGTGATCCGACGGCTCGGGTTGGAGATACGGGACGAGAGCTCGGTGCTGTACTGGGCGGCGAAGAACGACATCCCGGTGTACTGCCCCGCGCTGACGGACGGCAGCATCGGGGACATGATGTACTTTCACTCGTTTAAAAACCCCGGGCTCGTCGTCGACATCGTCGCGGACGTGCGCGCGATGAACGACGAGGCGAGGCTCGTGTCGAGGCCGAAGAAGACCGGGATGCTGATCCTCGGCGGCGGCGTCGCGAAGCACCACATCAATAACGCGAACTTGATGCGTAACGGCGCGGACTTTTCCGTTTCGATAAACACCGCGCAGGAGTTCGACGGGAGCGACTCGGGCGCCAAGCCGGACGAGGCGGTGTCGTGGGGGAAGATTCGCCCGGAGGCGACGCCCGTGAAGGTGTGCGCGGACGCGACGTTGATGTTCCCTCTGCTCATCGCGCAGACGTTTAAGAAGCACTTCGAGGCGAAGAAGTGAGCGAGTATCACGGGCGCGGCGAGGAGGGTCGCGCGTAGATTTTAACTCGACACGCGAGCGCGGCGTCTCTCCTCGCGTGCGAAGGTGTCGTCGAAACCACGAACCGTCCCGTCGCGAAAAAAGCCTGAAAAAATGCAAAAAAGTGCTGACTAAAAGCTCACCCGTCACCTTCCCAAAATTTAAACGAAAAAATTGACCGTTTATAACTCAAGAAAATTGCTGGAGAATTGCCAGCTGTCACGGCTGGCGAATCGACGCCGCCGTTTCGGGGCGATTTGGGCGCTTATCTGACGTGTCGGTAACAACGGGGCGACAAACCCTGACGCGCTCGAACGATCTCACGCACGCTCACCATGCACGGCATCGCCTCCTTCTCCGTCACGATCGCGGGCGTAAAGGCCCGCGTTAAGCGCGCGCCGACATCGCGCGCGACCCTCCGCGTCGTCGCCCACGGCGGCGTCGGCGGATCTGGCGGACCCGCCTACGCGGGCAAAGATAAAGAATTCGGGAGCGACCAAGCCCCGTGGAAGAAGAAGCTCATCCTGCACGACGACGACCAGGCGGACCCGGAAGCGAACTCCGGCAGGTCCGGCGGCAAGCCCTGGACCCCTCCTCCCGCCGCGCAAGTCTCCACGGACTCCGGTTTCGGCGGCGGCGCCGCCGCGCCCGCGGCCTCGTCCGGCGGCTGGGACGCGCCCGCGGCTCCTCCCCCTCCGCCTCCGCCGCGCGCGGCGTCCTCCGGCGGCGGCATCAGACGCGGCGCCGACGGCGTCGTCTACGACCCGGACAACATCGATCCGGACCAGGACCGCAGCCGCGGCCAGGCGTGGACGCCGCCGCCCGCGCACCAGGTCGCCACGGACAGCGGGTTCGGCGGCGGCGCCCCCGCGGCCGCGCCCGCGGCGAGCTACGGCGGCGGCGGCGGCAGGGGCGCCGGCCGCGCGCCCGCGCGCGTCTTCCGCGGCAGCGACGGCGTCATCTACGACCCGGACAACTACGATCCGGACAACAACTAGACGACGCGACGCGCCTCGTATCAAGTCTGAGACGGGCGGCGCGCGCGCGTCGACGGCGACTGATGAATAATTGTTGAAACGAATCGTCGAAGAAATTTTATCCGCGGCAGAAAAACCAACAACGTTTCGTCAGGACAGGACGCCGGCGCGCGATCTGACGGTCGCCCGCGCAAGCAAGCATCACGGAGTGATACAAGATAATAAGAATACACGAACACTACTGATATCACAACGACGACGACGCGCGCGTCCCGCCTCGCTCTGATGATA